GTACAACAACAACAACAACAAGTAGCGATTGCTAGCTCTGTCCGTCAGTAGAGAATATATTTAGTTGAGCTGAGGAGCAGAGGAGCAGAGGAGCAGAGGAGTTCCACTGGACATGTAAATACGTGGGCCCGGTGGCATTTCAACCGTTTTGCATGCCAGTTCCGCGGAGTCGCCAAACTTTGCCCGAGTGCAGGGTTTTTTTTTTTTTCAGGGACGAGGCCATTTCTCTTGGCCGGCAGAACCAAAGGCAATTAGGTGGCGTTGGTGGCATTGGGCAGAGGCGACTGTATCACACGGGGAACGGGGAGCAGAAGGGAGAAGGGAGAACTGAAAACCGAGGGTGGCCCAATATTGAATCCAAGGAAAGCCGCGGAAATACGAGCAACGCCGGGCGATAATAAACTTATTTACTGCATAGTTTATGCACTGCAGATATCACTCATACGCCATGGTGTCTCGACGCACATGCGAACATGCACCCTGCTGTAAAATGCGATACGGCGCGGCGGCTACAAGTTGCGAAAACGAACTCCGCAGGAGAAGGAGCCCCCGACCAAGTTAATGCGAGCCGAGCACTTTTACAATCGCACAAACATAGACCCCGGCAGCTCGTCCGTCTGGTTGTGGGGTGTGTGTCGTGTGTATCGAATAAGACGCACGATATAACTACTGAAATATAAGTACGTACAAGCATAATGCGATCGTAAAAAGGCTTTTCATTGCGAGCATAAAGTATTAAGCTACTTTGCAGCATCTTTGCATGCATTACCCAGGATAATACACAGACAAACGTCGCAGGCCTGCTGCTCGAGTGTCCGCCCACTCCGCCCACTCACGCTCACTCCAAAAAAACATACTGGGAAACGGAATCACGTATCCTCTATCCAGATTAGCCCGAGTGTATGTAGCATGTAGCGTGGGCGAACTCTGTCTTTCCGTTGGAGCTGCAACTCCGGGCAGAAGACGCTTCCCGTCCAGAAAGTGTTCCCATAGCCAGCCGATCCAACGAGGGGACAACTCGCGAAATTGAATCTGCCGCCAGCCGGCTGGCTGATAACTTGCCGAACAAAATAAATTTGCCATTAGCTCAGTGGGTAAGTGGATGAGGAGGAGACTAAGTCTCAGTCCGGGACTCAGAAACAACAAACCGAATTTATGAAATACTTTGTTGCCCCTGCCCCATTCCCATTCCCATTCCCATTCCCAATCCCATCCGTATATAGTACGTATTCAGTCAGCATTCTCTATTGCTCATTGGGAAGTGCGAGTGTGTTCGTACTCAGCTGGAAGACTCGATGCGATGCCCATACGGACGGATGCATTTACAAGCGCTCGCAAGTGGCCGAAGGATATTTTATTGCCGCAATAGGTCCACGTCCTTGCGGTCACACTGAGACACTCTAAGTAGTGAGGAGCATTCTGGTTGTCTGGTTGTCTGGTTTGGGTGGACGTGGACACAGGGATTCGCCACATATGGATCTGTATAAATACAATTTTTGCGTGATGCTTGTTTATTTGGCTGCGACTTCAGTTCGTTTTCAGTTAACTTAACTCCTCCTCCCCCCAGAAACATCGTCATCGTCATTTTGCACGCAGCCCACACACACACTGGCACACACACACTGGCACACACTGGGTGTCACCCACGCACACGCTCTCGTGGGCTGCTGCTCAGTTGGACGGCCGGCGACATTTTCGTTTTGGCATTTCGCATGCAATTTGCGGTTCATTGATTCGGAAGTTTTCCCATTTAACTTAAGCCTCTTTAACAATCCTATTGACGCAAATTTCTACTTACCGTTGCCCGGGAACTTGTCGCCGCAGTCGCCAGTCGCAGTGGCACCAACTGCCGAGACCGGACAGGAAACGAACGATACACAGGTGCAGATTGGGGCTTCCAATATGGATGCGAATGCGGATGCGGAACAGATGCCTTTGCAAGCAGAAGTGCCTTTGACCCCAGTCCAGTCCACTTAAAGCGGAGTGAGCCACTCCGCCTGCTCGATAATTATAATAATGTCAATGGCCACTGACTCAACTGTCCAGTGGGCGACGGAGCTCCTATTCGTATACATCTGTCACGCAAGAAAACGCTTGGCAGAAGGGAAGTTAGAGGGCGGGCAAATAGCTCCTTCATATAGTTGACAAAGGAGTCTCCGAAGTTAATGAATTAAGGAAGTCTGATTTTGGCAGTGTGATTTGCCCAGTAGGTTTTGTGTTGTGCTGGAACAATAAAATGTGCCACATTCGCCAACGGCGAAGCAAACTGCGGCTGTGGATTAAGCTCCACTGGGGGGGGGAAATGTCCTAGGCGAGTACTTCCAGTCGTGGCAGGAGGATCATCAAGGAAACCGATGTACTTGCAGGCAGCAGGCGCCTTGGAAAAGGCAATGGCAACATCATCACTATCAGCATCATCGATGAGCTGGCCGACAGGGAACAGAGCAAAAGCAGGAGCACTGGCAGGAGCAGAAACAACAAGGACGAGGACCGAGTGGCCGGATAGGATGCCAAAACACACACACACCCACACACCACACCCACACACACCCACACACACCTGGTCCTAAGGGAACGAGCAGTAAACCAAAGCGCCTTCCCAAGGACAGATGCAGTGTGCAATCTTTTGGTATTTTGTTGGCTTTGCACATTTGGCGTAATGCCAAAGCACAATAAAAAAGGAGGCGCGGGGGGTGGGAAAAATCTGCGGAACGAGCGGCGGCGGGGAGCTTCGAAAGCAAAACAACTGCGGCAGACGGCGAAAACAAAAAGACAATGCCAACTTGACTCAACTTAACTCAACACCTGAGAAAGGCAAACACTTGAAGGCGCGACGAGGCTCCCACGCGAGGAGGGAAGCGGGAAAGCCCCCAAGCCGAGTCCTTTCCCCCATCAGAATGAGCACCGGGATGAGCAGCAAGGACGTGCATTCATTCAAATCGACTTCGGTGCTCAGCTCAGCGCTTCTCCTTCGCCCTTCGCCATTCGCCCTTCTCCTTTGCCTTCGCCTCTCCTCGCCCGACTCTCGTTCAAAAGGAATTCATTTTAATGCACAGGTGGGTTGGGTCGGGTTGGGTCGGGACGGGACGGGCTTGTTGTCTGAGCCAGGAAACGTTTGCTGGCAGAGTCTGGCCGACCTGGAAGGAAAAGGAGTCGAATCTTAGATCCAAAGCCAGGGGGAGTCGATTACGGGTGCGTGTGGTGCGCCTAGATGCGGCTGCCTAGGTGCTCCGACGCCCCGATTCCCCGACTTCCCGACTCCCTGCTGCCAACTCCTCCACCTGCACGCTCCGCGAACTTAAACGGCCAAAGTGCAATCCAGGAACACAACACACTTACACAAACACAAGCGCAAACAGTCAAAGGATCTACAGTTTGACCCGCAAGGAGTGCGGAACGAGGGTCCTGTGCTGGCAGCCAAACCCAAAGCACTGGTATACGTAGAGTCGAGCCAAGTCAAAACCGAGTCTATAATTTTTGTTGTGGTTCCTGTCTATTGTCTTACGGCGCCCGGCTTCCCTTCCACTGGGTCTTCCCTCCTAAGCGGTCTCCTTCGCCAAGGGCAGCTCCCTTCTCTCATTTTTTTTGCTTTCTGGGTACTGCCCTTGCTCGTCGAGCCGGGGAAACGAGCCATTCGCGTGAATTACTGAAATCGGATCTTCCTCGCCTCTCTTCCCTAGGGTTTCCGTTTGACTCGTGGGTATTGTTTCAAGCTCTTAAAGCTGCCCCAAGCTTATTCAAATGATGACCGATCTTCAATTCTGCAGTCTTTGCGATGAAAGGCTTGTGAATTATAATATTTCGTAGCTTGATAGTGGAGAATTGATCCGCAACATTTGTGATTGCCGAACCAATCTCTAAGCCTGGATTTTCAAAGCCCATCACACTCCTACTTTTTATCCGATTATAAACTAGGATACTTCTAATCGTTTATACAAACTGCATTTTTTTTGCCCAATACTTGTTGGTATTTATTTCAATTTTTCGGTGATTTGCATCTACTTGCTCTAAAACTAAAATCTCTAATGGCTTAAAATCTTATCTTAAGTAAACTGCATTTCAAAGATGTTAGTCGAAATTGTCTATGTTTCATTACATGTTAGTTTACCCAGTTTCTCAATACCTTGCCGAAACTTGCTCTTAAACTAGACTCTTACAAACAAACTGTGTTTAAATTTATTAATGGGAGATTGTAGATCTTTTCACCCTCTTTCATATAAGATTTTTTCAATTTTTCGTTTATTGATGGCTTTCAAAAACTTGACCCCAAATCTAGAAACCGGCTGGGGAGTACGAAACGAAGGTGCTGTGCTGGCAGTTAAACGCCAGTGTAATTATGCCTAAGACCAGCTCACTATAAATTCCAAAGTCAACCTAAGTCGTAGTGGGCGCTTCGAAATCGTGAAATAGCATTGGGTAAATTGAAAGGCATTAAATCTATTTTGCAACCAGAGAGCGCGAACTCGCATCCGTGCCTTGCAGCGACGATATGCCAACTGACTCCGTCCATGGTTGGCGGCTTTCTAGTCGTTTCGGTCCTTGTTCGGACGTGGAGTGAAAGCTGTCGCTGAATTTGAGTGAAAGCTTTTTTGCTAAAGGCGCCTGCGTAATTTGAGTGGTTTTCAGAATTGTGGGTGGCGCCAAAATCTTGAGTGAACATATATATATAGATATAAAAAAAGAATACATATAAGTATATAAAGTTTCTTCAAGTAACTATATATATTATTCTAGTTTAGACCGATACCCACTACAAGGGTAAACTGAAACTGCTTATTACATTCACTTACACTTGCATTCACTGTCTTTTTAAAAATTTTATTCATTTATTGATTCCGAGTTTAATTACCGTTTTAAGATTCACCAAAGTTAAAGTGATTTGAATCGCGCGCCAAGCAAGCAGTTCTCTATTGTTACTTTTAATCGGTGTGACCAGTCGCGCGCATGGTTGCATTCAAACCTATCGAAAAGCGAGGTATCGATGTGTGGCGTTTATCGATGCAGTCTACCCCAAAATAAACATAGCCTCGGCCACAGAAAATACAACAAAAGCGCACCTACAGCAGCTGGCGCACGGAAAACCACCCAACTCGGTCCGGTTCGCAATCAGAAATGTCCTGGGGCGGGAGGAGCAGCGCCTAGAACCGCTTAGCCGCCCTCGAGCGTCCTGCCTGCTAAGCAATTATGCAAGTTGCAGCCGCAGATCCAACTGTACTCGCCGCGCCGCCAGTGGAAGTGGAAGTGCAAGAGCAAGAGGAGGAGTCCCAGTGCCCATGACCCCCTGACTCGGAGGCAACGCCGCCAGCAGAGCAGTCCACACGATCGGTAAGGCAGGCAGACTGCCGACTGCCAACTGACTACCCACTGACCACCGCACCACAAACCCTTGAAAATTGCAGACGAAATGAACCAGAGACATTCCGAACCATTCTACATATCGGCCCGTCTGTTCGACAACCGGCGGCTCAAGCGGCGCCGCTGCCGGTGGATGGAACGCCTGCAGGAGCGCCAGCGAAGCTGCATGGCCCAAGTGCGCACCCAGGCCTTCGCCCCCAAGACTGATCGCTTAACACAGCTGCAGCGGCGCCATGCGGCTGCCACCTTACCCGCAGACGTGACCATCGACCTTCTGTCCGATGACGATGATGATGATGAAAAGGATCGTGGGCCGGCAGCGGCTGGACCGTCTACTGCCGCTGTCCACAATCGTCTTCTGATTTCCGCCCCCGTCGTTGGACAGCGACGACCACGAGTGGGCAGAAGACAGTCGGGCCGTGTCGTCGCCTACTCGTCGTTCCCCGTGACCGAGAGCATCCTGATAACCAGCGACGACGAACAGGAAGCCATCGTCTCCAGACGCTCGCCGCCACCGCTCGCACCGCTCAGTATCTCGCAGACCATCGAGGAGGTCACTGTCTCGCTAGTGCCGCGATCCTCCACCACTGCCAACTGCCAACAGACGAGACTGTCCAGCCACCACCTGAAGCCCTGTCGAGCGCCCACGGCGGGCACCAATGGCATGGGAATGGGAATGGCAATGGCCGGCGGAGGAGAGGGAGGAGGTGGCGGCGGCGGCACCAGCAGCAGCGATACCAGCTGCTTTCTGGAGGTGGACGTGGGCGGCGACATCACAGCCACACTGCCGGACGAGACCACTGTGCACACGGTGATAGCGAACCGCATCTACGAGCTTTCGTTGAGCAAGCTGCGCGAAGGACTGGCGTCCAGCGGAGTGCCGGAGTACACGCACGATCTGCTGCCGGAACAGCTGCAGAAACTGTCGCCGGCATTGCGCGCCAAGGTGGCACCGCTGGTGGCGCCCTCGCCACCCACGCCCATCTCCCTGAAACTGTCAAGCGACCTCAGCATATCACTGATCTCAGACGACGACGACTGCGAGGGCAGTGTGCCACATGCCAGCGGCGGCGGAGGCGGAGGCGGTGGATCCGAGGTGGTGCACCCAGTTGTGGTGGCTGCCGCGGAGGCACATGCCGCGGCCAAGCTGCTGAAGCAACAACAGCCGCAGCTGTCGGTGGTGCAGCACCTGCAGTACGGTGGAGGCGGACTCGCTGCCCCCGTGGCACTTGCACTCCCGGTCATGGCGCACGCGAACTCGTCCACTTCGGCGGTGGCTTTGCCGCTGCAGCTTCCGCGCCGCCGGAAACTTGGATGAGCCTAACCACATACAACTTCAAATATCTGCCTGATGTGCGCAGCTAGACCCGAATACCCATCGCCATAATATCATTCCCCGAGCCGAAAGGATAGCTCAGACTTTTTCTAGCCGTGGCTAGTAGTGCAAATATAAACGTAGATCTAGCAACAACAACAACCCATCACAGATTCCCAGTTGCCCCTGAATTAGGGCCAAATTATTAGCGGACCTTTCATATCTTCATTTCCCCCAACACACTGTGTTTTCCTTTCCTCTTCTTGTCTCTGTCTTTTTCATACTTTAAGCTTTAAAAGAAACGAGACGACAACGTACAAAAGAAAGTAGAAATTATCAATTCATATACATACATGCTTGGGAAAAAAGAAATTTGTAAAATTTATAAAAGAAAAGGGATTAGAAAATTCGGAAGCGAGAGACAAAGAAAGGTGAACCCAATATTTATAACGTACAAGTAGATAGATTAAGTTATGATTATTATGTACATTTGATTAAGAGGATCGTACTTGGGGGGAACCAGCGAGTGATTCGTCCCAGCCGCAGTCTGTATTACATTTAACTGATCACCACATCGGAATAAAATTTTCTTGTATATAACTGCAGACCAGACCCCTGGGACTTGTGGACTTTTTCTCGAAAAGAAGGACACTAATTGATGGGGGTAATGTGCAAATGCTGAATGGGTATCCCAATCATTTCAAAATCTTAGCCTTTTCAATTACAATAATCGCATTTTTTTCAACTAATGTATGTAAGCCAAAGAATTTTGAAAAGCCATAACCCTGTATTGTTCCTCACCTTTAACCATTTTTATTTGTTCTTATATTTAACCTGCCAATAAGAAGTTCTACTACAACATTATCAATTTCGTATTGAAAATATAAACAAGGAAAATGTTACTTGCTAGATTTGGGCTAATCTCTCGGTTTGTGACGGTCTGTCTGCTCTTGAGTGTGAGACGAAGGTTCATTTCGACAAATGACAGAAATGCGTCGCTTTCTGTTCACCAGACGTTTCCCAAACCATGATTTCTCACTGGCCAGGATTTCGTGCGTGAACTCGTACCGCGCCAGGTGGCTCATGATGTAGAGTGAGCGTCGCGGCAGCAAAATATCCGCGGACTTGCTGGCTGGATCCTCAGTCACCCGTTTGAGTCGCATAACGCAATCACTGAGCAAGCTAATGCCAGCGATGGTGCTGCCGCAGAACTGTTGAAACGAATCAAGATTGCTTTTTGTGATCTTTCCGAGTGGCTTGTCCAACTCACTCGAGTGCTATCCACGTGCGGCTTGATCACTCCGGCTTCTTCGAGGTCTAGAATGTGGACCAAGGGCATCACCAGGCCACCAAAAGCTCTTTTGGCCACACGATCTAGCACGGTGCGGTTGTCTGATGACCACTTTTTGCATTCCACCTCGCGGTATCCATGAATCGCCTGTGAGTGAAAGATATGTAGAAGAGTCAAGTTCCATTCCAACTTGCATTGCATACTAACGTCATCCCAGTGGCTCGTTTCGTAGGGTAACCTCCTGACTTGAGGTTCGATTTCCCGCATGAGGGTCTCTTCCTCCTCCGCCGTGACAAAGTTTCTAATGACCTGCATGCTCGACTCGAACTCCTGTTTATCTGAACAGGGCCACTGGCCGGTAAACTCCACTAAACTGGTGCTCCCAGACCTCCTCCCCTGGAGCTTGGCTCCCGAGGGAGCTAGTCGGCGTACGACAAGCATGTGCGTCACGATGAACGAATTGCGTCACTGGCATTCAAAGGACTTCCGTCAATCGGCTCGGCTATCGAATGCAGTCACTCGATAGACAATCGTTGCAACCGTTCGGGGTTCCCCGGCAACAGAGTAAACACCACCGTAGATTGGGGACTGGGGACTGGGCAGCGATGGAATGCAGGGATGCCAGGTTGCCCAACTGGTCCGAGAACACTCGATTCCCGCAGAGGCCAACGCATGCGCCGAATGGCACGCAGTTCGCAGTTCGGCTAGGGCGGAAACGCTTTCCGGTGTAGATATACCAGAAATATTTCTGCTCTTCTGCCGTTATGCTGCGGCGGTGGCTGCTGGCTTCTGAAAGCTGAAAGCTGAGTGCAAAGTGGTCGAGTGTTGGTCGTCGCAAAGCGTATCGAACGAATTTTAAAGACGGTAGCACACACATTCGAACACGGCTGACACGGTGGTGAGCTAAAGCTAAGAGCGTTTGTTGTTCAAACCCGTTAAATTAATTCAGGAACGTTCCTGAGCTGAATCGGCTAGTGTGTAGCAGCGGTTGCAATTGCAACTCCCGAAAAGGAACGCAGAAACACCGCCGGCGGTGTCCCAGTGAACCGCCCACACACACCCACATGTGCATAGGTACACACAGCAGGAGATCCTCTTTGAAATGTCCACGGAGTGCAGCCAACAAACCGCTGACGTGTGCGGAAAAGTCAACAACCAGGACACTTCCTGTGCACTTCCCCTGTTCTCTGCCCCTTTGCACTGGATGTTTCTGTTTCTGTTTCTGTTTCCAATACAAACAGAGGCTCTGTGCTCTGTGCTCTGTGAAAAAACAACGACACTGAAATTAAGCTCTCGGCAGCACTGCACCTCCTAAATCGAATCAAAAATTCCTTTGGTGGCCCGCAATTATGCTGATGGTAAGTGGAAGTGTGTGTATACACACGGGCACACACAAGCCCGTGGAGTGCGTGCACTGAAAAGTACCAAGTATTCCGTATGTACACATGTCTGCTCCTGCCCCTTCCTTCCACGCACATAGCTTCTGTTTGGGTACAACAGGCAAAATGTGTACATCCACTGAAAAATGTTGCCGGGCGAAAAGAGTGTCATTCATTATAACTCCTCCAACCAAACTCTAACTAACCAAAGCGATTAACTGTCTCTTCCCAGGCGGATGTGGTACATAAGGCTGATTTACATAATACAAATCCGGAAATGGGAAATACTTTTGCACCCTTTACTTCGGAAATGGGTTCTTTGAGTTGTACTTGTTCTCTTTGAATTTCCCTGCAGAGCAGCGTCATTTCTGGCGACCAGATCCAGATCCTTCTGCAGTTCCAGCTCCAGCAGTCACGCCTTCTGCTCGGTCCTGCTCCTTTCCGTGCTGCAGAGTTTGCGCACTTTCGGCGTTGCATGCCCCCCTTGCAATAGGTACCGTTCCCACCACACCCTCTTGACTTGACTTGACTGTCCGTGGACGTGGGCGAGCCCACATGTCCCGAACTCCCGAACTGCGAGTTTCGGTTGCTTTATCTACACCAAAGTTGAGTGTTGTACACGCACATGTGAGTGTGTGTGTGCGGTCCATTGTGTTGTTGCCGGTAACAAACGTAAACAAAGTGCAGTGCATTTTTGGCTCTACCCTAACCACCGCTTGGTCCATCATCTCCTGCAGTCGCAGCACAGCCATTGAGCTTTAGGAAACCCAGAGGAAAACAGCAGGATGTTGATCCGCTGGAAGAGCAAAGACAAGAGCGCCTCTTCCAACCAGAGTGCCTGCGGTAGCAGCTCCTCTTCGAAAAAGAAGCGCAAAGGTCGCGAGGGCGGTAAGTACTTGAATTCCAAGAAAACTGAGAGATGGAGGAGCTTCTGTGTGTGGTAGGGCAATGCATAATTCGAAGGGCCTCTTCCTTTCAGAAGAAGACTGGCAGAATGATGGGAAATCAGGTCGCCTACCGCCAAACGAGCAGGGTAAGTGCAACTGTTGGAACTGATCTAACAGCAACTAATAAATCTAAAACGTTCCCTAAAGGAGGCGGCGATGAACGACGACGGGCCATGCGACGCGACGATCCGCGGCGCCACACGCTCGGTGGCGATATGTTGGTCTACGGTGGCTCTCAGCATCCCCATGCCCATCAGATGGCGCCCCAACAACAGCGAGCCATGGATCTGGAGGTAAGGAACAAGTCATCAGAAGCGGAATGCTTCATTCTATAATCAAATTTCACTCGTAGATGAGCACGCGAGCCCAGAAGAACAAGAAAAACCAGCCGATGCGGGGATATGCGCCTGTGAACCAGGGACCGCTGTTCGACGACGATCCGGGCATCATGTCGGAGGTGGAAACGGCCAGCACCGGATTCCGGAGGGGCGGCAAGCAGCGCTCCTCGCTCCCCGTGGTACGCACGCCATCCAAGACGCTGGAGCGGCCGTTGGGCTTGGTTTTCCTGCAGTACCGCTCGGAGACGAAGCGCGCCCTGCTGCCCAACGAGATCACCTCGATCGACACGGTGCGCGCCCTGTTCGTGCGCTCGTTCCCGCGCCAGCTGACCATGTCCTACTTGGAGGGGCCCAATGTGAAGATCTACATCCACGACGCCAGCAAGGACATGTTCTACGAGCTGGAGGATGTGCGCTCGCACCTGCGCGAAATACGCGACCGCTCGGTGCTGCGCCTCTTCGAGTCCACCGAGGTGGCGGCCCCTCCGCAGATCCTGCCCGGCGGTCCCGGCATCCCACAGCCCCTGCCGCAGGCGCAGGCCAACTGGGACCAGGACCAGAGCTACTTCAGCGAACCGGAGTTCGACTCGGACTACAAGCACCAGCACATCCACAAGTCGAAGGTGAGTTTGCGGCCACTTTGGTTTAAATATTCCTTTATTCAATATCACTGCGTAGTTGCTAGGGTGTGGTGGTTGAGTAGGTTGGCTAGGTTGGGCTTAGTTGGGTGTCCATGAGCGAGTCAAGGATTGTTGTAAAGCGTTGACTCCCACATGGACAAGCAGAAAGGCGAAGCAGGAGAGAGGATTCCCGCTCCAATTGATTACTTACTCGTATATACAAAAAACAAAAAAATAACATGAAAGCAGGAAACATAGTTTGGGTTAGGAGGAGGGCCTGGGGAAGCCAAGAGTGGAGTGGGTCACTAGTTTATCGTCCGAACTCAAAGAACTCATAGAATAACTAGAAGTTGCCGCAGGCACCCACGCTGAGTCCCTTGAGTACGTTGTTCATGTGCTCGCGCACATCCTTCCACGCAAAGACGATGGCCCCCTGGAAGGGCTCCGGATGGCAGCTGCTGCAGATGGCCATCACCGCCTTCACCTCCTCCTCGGCGGGCTCGCGGTCGTGCGTGCTGATCTCCTCCTCCAGGCTCATCTTGAGGGTCAGGTCCTGCTTGAACTGCTGCCCCCCGAAGTCGGCCAGCCCGTTGTACAACTCACTAGCCTCCGTTCCGGAAGCGGATCCGGATCCATCGTCCACCACAGAGCCATTGTCCAGCAGGACAAGGCCGCGCTTGTGCAGCTTCTTGGCGTTGGCCTCCCTCTTGAACTGGATGTGCGTCTCCGTTTCGTCGATGAACTGCACGTTGGCCGAGTTGCTCAGCATCTGGAAGCGGTTGCCTCCGCCGGTCTGCAATTGTGGCTGCAGTCCGCCCGATGGCGAGAGTCCCAGCAGCTGTTGGGCCACCAGCCGCGAGCCCGCGTTGATTTGTCCGTTCACAAAGTTCGTGTTAATGGTGATGGCCTGCTGCTGGGCGGGATCGGTGAGCGCTGAGCCTGCAGGAGTGGCGCCTCCATTCGCCGCGGGCGTGGGATTGGCCAGATTGATGCGCACCCTGGTTGGAATCTGTCCACTGGCGAGCAGTGTGTGCATGGGTTGCGGACGATTGATCTGGATTCGGAGGAGTTAGTGGATGTTAGTGGAAGCAACAGCATTCTCTCACCGATGGCGGAGCACGCGTGGTGCTGGATACCTCCTGGCCCTCGTGGTCAAAGTGATGGACGTGGTGGTGCTTGTGGTCGCGATGCGCCTTCCCAGCACTGAGGGCCACGCGATACAGCTGGACCAGAGTCATCTCGAAGTGCAGGCCGTGGCTCACTTCGCCGGTGACCGAACTGCCGCCGGAACGCAGCTTGCCGTTCGCTGGGATTTTGTGACCCACCAACTGCAAATACGAGTAGATTAGACAATAAAGTGATGAACGATTGCAGCATCTCCCTAATGGATTCGCATGCCGAAAGTAAAAGTGCGAATCGCTGGTATGGGAGTATTTTGCAATGCTCGGCGTAATTGGAGTCAGTCGAAGCAGCTCCACAGCTCTACTCACCGAGTTGTGAAAGCCACGCCCAATGCGTTCTGCCTTCAGCCAGGCCTGCCACTCGCCCGTCTTGCCATTCCACGAGCTGCACATGTGATGCCACTGGCGCATTTTCAGCGGGTAGTTCAATCTACAGCAGAAACGATAAATCAGATCGCAGATCGAATTGACTTGGCTTGATCCATTGCGATGGACGCAACACTCGACTCACCTGAACATTTGCTGACCTTTTATGGCCATCGAAAGGAAACTGGAATTCTGCGCATTGGCGACCCAGATTTGCACCTCGCGTTGTTCCTTTCCAACTGTGGATGCAAAAGTGGATCAGATTCAAGACTCGCTTTCGTGCCGTTCATTGATGGCGATTTTCTGTTGGCTGTCTGAACTGAGCTGGGATTGTTTGGAGCCAGCATTCCAAACTGTGGACTCATCGTTAAGCAGAACGCGTCACCTATCGTCACCCGTCACCCGAAAAACAGACGTATCCTCTTTCCCAACCGAGCCAATCAGGAAGCCTTCGTGACTGACCGAAGCCGACTGAGGAGACGACGAGATCTTAGCTCGATTATACAACTGGCAACTGGAACTGCGCGTATGCGGCAAATCCTGTTAGGCTGCCAAGCATGTGATATGCATACTGCAGACTGCAAACTGCATACTGCATACATTTAAATATGAATCACCACCGGCTGTGGGAAAAGCATTTCCTAGCCGCAAGCCGGCCCGGCCTGAAGTCCGGAACTCGGCTGCTGATCGCCGTTGCCGCTACTTGAATTGAGGCTTTGAAATTATGTCAAATGCTAAAGCTGGCTTCGGCTTTGGCTTCAGCTGCGCTTAGAGTGCGACACAAACAATGCCGACGACATCCAACTGGAAACAGGTAAATTATCGCTTATGTAATGCGACCGCAACGACAAAACCCAAGAAAGCAGCAACAAAACTAACACCAACAGTGGCGCACAGTCGGCGTCATGGGGCAGTTGAATATTTCCAAAAAAAATTCAAAACAAGAAAGAAGCAAAAACAAAGCGAATCTTTAGGGTAGCAGCAGCAGTAAGCAGATAGCACCACTCCTCCTCCAAAGAGGTGAACCCGACATCATCAGCAACATCATCGGCAACATCATCGGCTACATCACCACTATCATCATCACCGTTGGCCGTCAAACTGATCGCGAACGGCAACCTGTCTTCTTGTGCTGACTTGCATCAGGAAGTTGGCTTCCTTTCACTTTCGCAGCCAGGTGCGATCGCCGGAGCATGGCCCACAAATTTCATTGCCCACAGCGAAGGTCTCTCTTTTGCTGGCAATGCGGTGGCCCATCAAAAGATCGACTGTCCGCTTATGCAACAGCATTTGCCCGTTGCCCGTTGCCCGTTGGAAGTAATCGCTCAGTGGTCATTGTGGAGCCATTGTCTCGTCGTTGCCACTGAAGTTAAAGCAAGTCACGGTGAGAGGCTGACCACCACCAGCAATAAACACCATTCAAGCCAAACCCACTCCCTACCCATTCCCATTCCCGACCCTTCGTTCACCCACTCACCCTCGTAGGTCAGGAGGACGTGGTCGCCGCTGTGGTTGGTGAACCGCATCCAGAAGCAGAGGGTGAACTGCTCCAACTCCGGTATGGGATTGCCGTACTCCACCTCGCCGTCCTGGTTGAAGGCGAACTTCTTAACGCTACACCGATCCGACCCATAGAGCGGCGTTCGCGCGAAGGTCAGCGGCTCCTTGGGCGCCTCGTCCTCGATGCTGTACGACTCGTACTGGTCCTCGACGTGATCCACGAAGCTGATGGGATGCGACAGCGAGGCACTGGAGTCCACTCCGTTGACAATGGGGGCTCGGCCCAGCAGCAGATCGTCCTCGGCATCGACGGCGGTCTCCTTGCCGTCGTTGTTGAATTGAGAGAAGCTAGTGGATATCTCGTGGCTGCTGCTGGCCGCCCCCGGGTGCGATTGCTTCAGGCTGTAGGCGGCTGTACTCCCACTAATGCCACTACCGCTCGAGCTAACCGCGATCGGCTTCCAGGCGAAGGAGGTGGCCGCGCACAGGAGCACCATGCTGAGCAGAGTAAGAGGAAGGCCCTGCGCCATTTCGATTTCGATTTCAACGAATTTGCTTTCTGCTGTCTTGTGTGTGGTCCTCGATTAGAGTCTGAATAGATTGAAAGATTGGATCTTCGACGCGTCTGCAACGTCCGATTGCCGCGATGTCTCGCACTTCACTAATAATCCACGCATGCGCCACAGCCAGGTTGAGTTGCGCCGAAAACCCAGACGCTGCCGTAACAACAATAACAATAACAACAATAACAACAGCAACATCAACAGCCGCAGCAGCTCGGCTGCTCAGCTTGCTGTCCGCTCGTCTCGTCTCGCTCAGTTGTAACAAATTGTAAAATTGTTGTATTGAAATTGAAACTGAAACAGAAACTGGTTGAGGTCTGTGGGCTGCGGTGCGGTGGCTGTTTGGCCGTAGCAGGCGGCGAGTAAGCCAACCACTTGCACTTGCTGCACTCCTGGGACCCGTCGTCCAATGCCGGATGATTCGGTAATGCAGCCAATTTGCAATCGCAATGCGGCTGAGAACGCCGCATAATGAGCCCAGAACCAACCAGGAAATCTAAGCCACAGCACGTGCGCTTGACCAACCCAACCAATCCCCTCATCAACCAACTTAAAACAGAAAATAACTTTTGTTTTCAAACGCATCGAATTCGGCGAATTGAGATTCAGTTAATTTGGCAAGCGAGTGGATCGAATTGATCGAGTGGTGGGTGGGTCAAATGCCAATTACTGGGTATTCATCTTGCCACGGCCGTGAGTTCGCTTTTAGCTCCCAATCAAAATTACAATCCGAACTGATGTTGTGGCTCCGAGAAACACGCTTAGCTATATTGAGAAAAATCATTCAAAGTTGTTATAAAGGATGGGAATTTGAAACTCAATTTATTAACTGCACCTTTTGGCAATCGGTTGATTATCGTTTTTCTCTCAGTGTGTTTACGAGTACGTGTTCGTCCGCAGTCTTGGGGATAGGCTGCGAACCGAACCGTCATTAAAGAGGGGAGAAACCATAGTGGCTATTTCGCTACTTGAACGAAGGCCAATTGGCAGTGTTAAGCGAGTAATACCTGTGCCCTCGCCCCTGTCCCTGTACCTTTACCTTTACCTTTATCTGTCCCTGGTTTGATGAACTAATCAAACGGCGTTTATCCGGTTTATCCGTATCTATCCGTATCTTTCAGATTGGCAAGCAACCGGCGCCCTACTACGTGGGCTCGTCGCAAACCCTGCCCCGTGGGATGTACTCGTCGGAACGGAACAAGGTGTCGATGGGTACGTATCGTAGTCGAATCTGCCGAATAATTGATTTCGCATTCCTTTGATTCGTTTCTCCGAGTAGTAGTGGACCCCTTTGTTTTGCTCCTTTGCCCTCGTTCAGGTGATCCCCTCCTGCCCACCTGCCGATCCCTTCCTTCCCGGGACTCCAGTATTTTGCGGGCTTATGTTGTGGCTTGCCCTCTGTTGATCAATTGCCCAGTGTTCAGTTCTCAGTCATGCGCATTCGCCAAAAAAGCAGTGAAGCCCAGTCTAAATATGATTCATATTCCATCCATTAACCTAACAACAACAATAACAACAACAACAACAACAACACTCACAATCGAACACACCAATTCGGTGTGAATCATTTCGAACCAAAACCGAACCGAACCGAACTGAACCGAACCCTAACAAACCAATCTGAAACCGAAATCGAAACTGAAATCGAAACCGAAAAGGAGCGCCTGTGAAACCACTCAGATCACTCAATTCAAGGGGTAGCATGGAACCCCTGTTCCCCTACACCCCGGATCAGTTATACAGCATTCCAGGTACACGAGAATTTGCCTTTCTATCCAATTATTCATAGCTATGATTGTACGATCGCTTCCACACACTTACTTACACTCACTTACGTGTGCAATGTGAACAGTCGCCTACATTTCACATTACACTCGAGTACTCGCATCTGATTATCCATTGGCTTGCTGGCTTTATGCTGCTTTATGCAACCGCTAGAAATTCAAATTCAAACCAAATGCCAATAAAATGTTAGCCATGCACAATTCACACTCAAAAACCAATCGGATAACGTTAATTTTTGCGGCCCCAATCATATGCATCCCATCCGTTTCATTTCGAATCGAACTTTACGTTTCTTTAATTGCGTTTCGTTGTTCCTAAATTGAAATACGTAAACTTGGTAGAGCAAGCAAATATATATTCTTTAAGCCTACCCATGCACCAATTGAGATCGTTCTCCTTTTCTAGACGGCTACACAAGTTCTCCGGAGCGCAGCAGCCGCGGCAATTACGAGGAGCCGTACTACAGTCAGTACGGAACGAGGGGTACTGTGGTGGCCCCCATCATTGACGAGGAGCAGAGGTGAGCGAAGTGAAGAATCAATGGGATGAAACATTTAATCAATGCCATGCTATGTTTCCAGCGACGGAACCATGACGGAGGATCAGTACGCACTGTACGGCATCAAGGTCGGACCCAATCGACTGGCGCATCGCGGAAACCAGATCTACGATCCCACTAGGTGAGCACCGATCTCGATCTCTGATCCCGCACAGCTCTCATGTAGGAGGCGTAGTCCTGCTGCAGCAGGCTGCTCAGAGGGGCAATACTGGGATGTCCTTGGCGAGTGGCGCTGCGCCTGCTGCGTCGGTACACCTTGATGCGCTTCGTGTTGCCATTGGATGAGGTGGTGGTGGCCGTGGCCACCGGATGGAAGTAGGTGGTGCCCTTGCTCTTGATGGCCTGCACGATCAGGCAGAGCAGGTAGCCGCCGAACGAGAGGAAGGCCAGAGCCGTTATGCTGATCTGGAAGAGGGTCTGCAACTTGGAGGGCTTCTGCTCAACCCAAGAGGGATGCGGATGCGGATGCGGATGTGGATGGGGATGGGGATGGGGATGAGAGTGCCAAGGACCACTGGAACCAGTGGTGTCGTGCTCACTCCTGCAACGGAAAGTTCATCACTAAAATTCAGATGCCGAAGGGAGGGCAATCCTACCGATCTGCGGCCATCAAGGCCATTCGCTCCGGGAGCTGCGATCCCTCCACTTCCGGGCACTCGGTATCCGGAGCTAGCAGATCCCCAGTGTCCGGGGACTCCAGGGCCATCCTCTGCACGGACTTCTTGAGCAGCAGCAGTTCGTCCATCTGAAAGTTGACCAGGCAGCGGGCAAACCGCGCCGGTGTGCTGACCACTGTCGGAATCGAGTGCAAATCAGAGTCGTCATGAGTCATTCGTCATCCGTCAACCAGGGCCACTGGGTTTCCCAATCGAACGGAATCGTACATACCACTGCAAGTAGTCATGTTTTTATAGCAGTTCAGCTCAGCTCAGCTCAGCTCAGTAGTTCTTGCACCGCTCCAACTTGCCTTGCCTTCGAGTAACGACTGCAAAAGCGGTCCGACATTGCGTGCCGGCTGGGCTTCTGTTGGCATTTGTTAGGTGGAGTGGCGGGTATATTGGACCGGATCGAGTGCATCTGGGCAGTAGGAGGGTATATCGTTGTCGCAACGCAGCAGCGATTGTGTTCTTGCCTGTTTCGGTGCACGCTCCCATGAGCTAAGTGCCGCGACCCGCGTTTCTCAAAGTCGATTCCAATTCCGGTGTGTTTTTGTTTTTGGTGCCTAAGCTTGGCTGCGCAACTGGAGCAATGCGGTGCCAGCGGATGTATGGCCCAGTAAGCGTGGTGGTGCGACTCGCGAAAACACGCAACCACGCCGAGACAAGTGGAGACAAGTTTTCGACTGATTTCGCGACGTTTTTTCTTCTTGTTCGCTTACTTGCAGGCCAGAAGACCTGCATCGGATTCGCGTGGAGCACATGGAACGGCAGCTGGCCAACCTCACGGGACTGGTGCAAAAGGCGCTGGTCAACCAAAACCCCCAGATCGCCCCGCTGGCCGTGCCCACCCTGGATCCCAACTATCTGGTGGTGCCATCGCAGATGCAAGGTATGTCTCCGTGCCTCCGTACGGATGGGTTGGGCCCATATTTGTTTTAGATGTTGTACTCGGCACCCGCTTAGCTTGGAGCACTGACTTTGTCCTGGCACTGCCTCCTGGCTTTCGAGGACTAAAGATCTATGAGGCTGTACTTGCTGGCCTTGCTGTCCATCTTACTATCTCAAATCTCAAATGTTCTCTCCTCCCCAAAACGCTGCGCAGCAAACGGCTCCGGGGACGAGCTGTACATTCGGGAGAAAGCTCCCAAGCTGGGCAAGAACTCGTGCCGTAAGTGTCACCGGATTCCCCTCTCCTTTTGCAAACTGCCGTCACATGTCTCTCGACTCCTTGTATTCCAGAAAAATCCGTGTCCTTTGAGAAGTCCGTCTCGTTTAGCGATGACATTCAGGGAATACCAAAGTCGCACAATCCTCTACATGCCGGTAATTCACAATCAATCACATCTGCCTTATTACCTTTGCACTCAGAATAGAAACCACCGGGAAACTATTAAGGGGCACAACTAGTGTGACGGCCTAAAAAAATGGTGATTTTTGGGAATTTTTATAAAAAAAACTACTGGATCAATTCTTTTCAAATTTTCAGAATATATTTATACATGTTTGAAGAATATACAGTAAAATTTTTAAAGAAAAAAATTTGATCGGATCAAAAAACCGATAGGTCATTGTAGGGAGGACTATATATAGAACATCTAAAAAAAATTTGATAGTGATCGGATCATTAGTTTTTGAGTTATCACTGCAGCAAATTCGGAAAATGCAGTTTCGAGAAAAATGCGTTTAAAGATAAAATGATCGTATGCACTGCTATACGAGCGGATGCTCTTAAAATTGCTATAACTCAAAAACAATTTAAGATATCGATTTGAAATTTTAATATGTTATTTTTAAAGGTGTAATCTACCGAAATATGAAAGAAAAAAAAAAAGATTTTTTTGAAATGTCACACTAGTTGTGCCCCTTAAGCCGTTTCCCGAAATTTAGTAACTTATTTTGGCGATTTTGTAAAATTTGAAAGCGAGTTTTGTTTTTGAGTGTGAGGAAATGTTAGCGCAGAACGCTTTTTCAAGCCAAGATCGTACAAAGCCATTCGTTTCCCTTTCCTCCAATGCCACACGCCGCACAATGCGATCTCTGCAGCTGAAACGAAGCCAACCAAACCGGCAATCAAGTCGTCCACCCTTCCACGCACCTCGTCGCAAGGTAAGAACATAAACACCAGTCACGCATGCATCAGCCACCTGTTTCGTCACCAATTGCTTTGCTGCAACTTTGCGTGATTAGTTCGATGATTGATCGCGTTCTTTTCTCTGGCCAGAGCGCGACAGATTGAAGCCGCCGCCGCCGCCGAAACCGATCGTGCTGGCCCAGACCGCCCATCCCAACTACCGGGCGGACATCGCACTGGCCCCCGAGGTGTACAACCACCTGCGCGGCCTGCAGAAGAAGGCCAAGGACCTGCGCATGGAGGTGCGCACCCTGCGTCGCCTGTCGCAGGCTCAGGCCGTGGCCGTTCGCGAGGACATCAAGGGCACCTTCATGCGGATCCGGGCTACCTTGTTGGCCAGCAGCGGCAGCTTCTGGGACCACCAGGGCGACCAGGACGCCACTCGCATTTCGCGCGAGGAGGAGCTCTACAAGCAGGAGGTCATTCGTCTGGAGAAGGACCTGAGCGATCTGGAGGGTTCGGTGGAGAACCTGCGCGGTGAGGTAATCAACCGACGCACCCGGGTCAATATGACCGCTGTGGAAGACATGGCTCTGGTGCTGAGCCGTGCCAGGTGGGCTATGGATACGATAAATCAGTGATTGGTTGGGGATCGTAACATGCCCATTTGCTCTTTTTGTGTTGTTTAGCAAAACCGTCGCCGAACTGAAGCTCAAGTTCCCGGCCCTCTCGAATGGCTTGCGCTGCATCCTGTCCAACGAGATGGAGAAGGTGGTGCGCGAAGAAAAGTTCCTCAAAGAAGAGCCCGACCGCTTGGAGTCGGCGCTGCGTCGCTGCAAGAAGCTGACCGGCACACTGGTGACGCTCAAACGGTTTGTAGCCCCATCGACCAACTGTGGGCGCCACATAACCCATAGCATAGAGGGATGACCGATAAGCTTATTCACCTCTCTTTTTAACCCAACAGCTTGGCCAGCGTGCAGGAGCAACGTCTGCCGCCCAACGAGCCGACTATTAGTGAGGAGCCCCCGCGATCGGCGGACATCTCGGCGCCTGACAAGGTGAGTGTGAGGTGGCAGATGAGGTCACGGGTTAGACAGAGACCGTGGTACGGCGACAGTTACACAGAGCTAGTTCAAAATCCAAACCAAAATCGAAGAAAGCGTTATGGGGCCCGGCCACACCATTTCCATATACTTATATACATTTTATACTGCAATACATAACGTGTCATGACTATAGAAACATATGTATAAAAGTATTGTTTCCAGTATTTCTATCGCAGAGATTAGTTGCTTTCGACCTTACCATATATCGTGTTTGCTATGCTTTCATTTCGAATCCACCTCACCAGACAAGATCTGAGCCTGAATCTTCTCTCGAGACTCGTAGAATCTGCGATATTTCAAAGTAAATATTATCGTATGTACGTACAGGTGCCGCAAAACTCCGCTTTTCCATCCGTCTGTCTGACTGCCCTTTGACCCCTTTACTTATCCGGAAATGCGTCGCGTTTCTGGTGTTTATGTAAATATGTTACTTCAAGTTCTGACGGTGATTTACCATTTGAATTGGGTACTGTGCAAAGTTTTAATACGAACCCTCTTAGTTATATCAACCGAAATAACATGGATTACGTTACACTTATTTGTTTGTAGTCCTTGGTTTATTTTTTGTGCGATTATCTTATGTATAAGTTGCAATTGGCTGTTGTTACATAAATAGTGTTTTGGTTCATCGTTCATTTCACATAAATTAACCAACCATTTAACCAATTCATTCAGCAAGAGTTACAGTATCAAAATTCAATACAGTCCAATTAATTTGAATGGCGACCGAGTCCAATCGAATTGGCACAAGTTGAGATAGCGCCCCGCATAGCACCGCAAAAAAAAAAAAAAAAAAAAAAAAAAAAAGAAAACCACGCGAAGCTTCACCGATCCAGCCACCGACCCCGGACCCCTCCCTTTGACCTCTTGACCCCTTGACCCATTGACCCCGCCACTGCCCTTTGCCACTCATCTTCCGAGCTTATTGTTCTGAGCTTGCTTTGTCGGGTCTTAGATATTTGACACACACAACATCCAACCGAAAATCTCAGCTACAATTACAGATACACAACATATTTTTGAAGCAATTACGTTTATATCATAAAATCAGTGGCAATCAATGCTGAAAAAAAAAAAAATCAAAACAGAACACAACAGTTAATTTATAAAGCAAAGCTAACGTCTTATAAAATGAGGTTTACCTTCGTTTTCTCTTTTTGCCTTTTCTCAAACATTTTGAATATCGTTTACAACAACAACTACAACCCATATAGTTTAACTGGCGATGGAGTTCAAACTTCAAAGAGGCAATTACTGAGTAATGACTGAAAATCCAAATATAAAAGAACATTTACAAAAACCAACCGATAAAATCCAAAACAAAACTAAAATATAATTAAAACCCGAAAAGAAAACATTTTGACAACAAAAAAAAAAAAAAAAAAAAAAGAAAAGTCATAAAACTAAGTCAAATTTCTTTTTGCTAAACATAATTTGCTCTGCATTAAACATACTAGTTTATATTTTGTATACTATTTACTACTGCTATAAACTTCTAACTAAACTAATACTCCTACTAAACTCGAAACCATATCAAATCATCAATCAATGCTGTCCATAAGCCATAAGCTCCAAACAAACCCCAAAAACCAATCAAGCCAACTACAGCCACATATCCATGTTCGTATGTACATATGTATCAATAGAAGCCCCATTGAATGACTGTCTGTGTGTGCTTACCAACCAACCAGCCAAAGTTCCATTTCGTGGGCTGCGACTCCCCCGCTCCTTTCCAACCTTTCCAAACCCACCTTTGATCTGATTCCGATTTTAAAGCCCTTTTTACTCCGTGTCTTATCAATCAATGGTCGTTTCTGAGTGCAATCAAAATAGGTAGTATCCCGATCGATTTTTGGGAATCCAGTAATAAAATTGATGTGTTTGTACTTATCCGGTGGCACTTTTCACACACATATGCACCGATTGGTGTGTTCCCAAAAGGACTATTGTATTCCAACACCCTCTTTTCATTTGACTCCCTTTATAGTTTTGTTTGCTTCACTCCCGACACCTCAAAGTCAATACACCCACATCCAAACGATCCGAAATCGCCGCTTTGCAAGTCTTCTGTTGGTGTTCGTTCCTTGTTCTACATGTTGTTTTGTCTTTGTCTCCATTTCCCCAAATGTGTAAATTCCTTCTCGGTACGCTTGTTTAAAACTTGGTTGTCTGGATCCGCTTCCGGTTGAATCTCCTTCCTACTTCAGTCATGTGATCCATTATGTGAACTCATATTGCATACATAGGTGCGTTGTCCGAGATTTATCAAAGCACAGCCATGAAGCTTATGAAACGAGCAGTAAACACGCACACTCAGAAACAAATACAGATGCCGATGTTAAAAGATGCCAAGATGAAGTGTAAATGCAGCATTTAAATGCCCGTTCCCGGGGTTTGTCATTGATTGTTTCCATTTACTCCCACCATACGGACACGCCCAGTTGAAGAAGAGAAAGAATCATCAATCAGTTAATCGCGAAATGCCTAAATCTGTCTTACTTTTTATTGATATTTAATGTAGTTGCGATCAACGCCTATGTGTGTGTATATATACAAATATAAGAAATAGAAAATATGTATGTATATGTACCCCTGTTTATGTACGTACACACCTGCCAAGTCCCAAGAACATCCAAGTCCCTTATTCCGAACATTCCGAACAATCCGAGTCCCCGAACCATAACTACTCTCTGTACCTAACAATTAATCTTAACCAGACAATCGAACGGCTAATTGTGTTGCAGTCAATCAAAAGTATGCAAACAGTCATCACTGTTCAGTCACTGTTCTCACTCATCGATTGTTGTCTTTGAAGTTTCAACAATCTATCAATCCATCGACCTATCAGCCCCTCATCAATCACATGTGTGACACTCAAGGAGTGTTCTCTCTCCATCACCATCAGAATTATGTACCTCAGTCATCAGCGAGGCGATAATTAACATAAGTTTAAAGCTATAGCGATTCCTAGTAAGAAATCTCATCTAAGGAAAGCGTACGGTCTAAAGAAGATACATAGACACTCAGATACACACTCAGATACATGGCAATACACACATGTCCCGATACGAACTATATATATTCTACATCATAATCGGTGAAGACTTCCCTAGAACCCATGAATGCGTCTCACACGGTTTTTGATTTACTTTAGCTCTACAGCTTTCACTCAATCCAAAGACCAACCTCACTCGTCCACCAATCTGGGTTCTGTCGTCATCTGTCAAACGCATCCGCATCTCCCTTGTTTAAACGCCGCCTTCATACTCGAACTACTCGTAGTACTCGCTCCCACATACCGCTTACCACCGGACTCACCGGCCTTTAAAATATCGTTTCTCATCATATACGTACAGCTTCACCTACTCCACTATTGTAGAACGCTTACCTTTGCCTGCTGCCTGCTTAAAATGTTCATTTACTACCTGTGAATACGCATAAGTTCGATGTTTAAAAACAGATCAAGTATACGCACTACATGCTCTCCTATTTGTGCTCGTATTTGTTTGATTAAAGTTAAGCTACAAGTCGGCTTTTTGTCACTGCATGATTCGTTCTATGCAACTGCACACATTTTTGTTTCCAATCCAAAAGAGCGGCTTGTTCGTTTTAGCTATCTGTTAAATACTTATTGCTGGGTTGATTCCGTATCAGATGTGTACGTGCAACAAGATCATTTGCGCGAATATATATGTCCAATTTGAGTACCTTATTGACGAATGTATAAATGTGAGATGTTATATTTATATACGTACTATATATATAATGTATCTTGGCTTCGCCTCGCGGGATTCGCATTTGTGCTAGTGTTTTACCGCCAAATTGTGTGTGTCTTGTAGCCAATCCCAACACCCAGGATGGGGTCGTTCGCTCTCAGCGGGGGACTCGCACCCGAAAACGCGCTCGATGCTCTGCTAGATGAGCTCAAGACATTCTCCAAGCCCATTGCCCAACAGCAACAACAACAGCAGCAGCAGCAGCAGCAGCAACAACAGCAACAGCAGCAACACCAGCAACTATACGAGGTAAGTGTTTCCCCAAAAAGGGCGGTGAGTCCATCCCAGCCGAACTAAAGTGTTCCAAGTCGCCCGTTCCCTCTGCAGATTCGCCCCGAAGATTCGGCATCCGATGAGAGCGCACAGGCCGCAGTACAAAGCACCGTCACCACGCAAATATCGCAGGCCCGTCTCTACACGGAGGCGAGCGTCAACGTGCAGCAGGCGACCACCGGCAGCATGGTCATCGCTGTCGCCTCGGGCAACGTGCTGCCGGCCCAAGCTCAGCGCGGTGTGCTCACCCACCAGCTGTCCCAGTCACAATCGCACCATCAGCAGCAGCAGCATTCGCAGCAGCAGCAGCAGCAACAGCAACAACAGCAGCAGCAACAACAGCTGATGGTGCACACCAACATGGGCAGTCTGCGGCGCCTGCATTCGTACCCCAGCGAATCGGAGGGCGAGCTGTCTGGACCGCCGACTGGTCCGCGGGCCAGCGAGACGACCATCCTGGCAAACGGCGGCAACGGAAGCGGCGGCAGCGGCAGCAGCAACAAGCCACCCGTGCCCGAGCGAAACGCCGAATTGATCACTAAGGTGGGCCACAAGCGCATCCCGCCACCTCCGCCGCCACGCACCAGCTCACGCAGTCCACTGGCCAGTCCAACCAGCCCGAACGTGCCACAGAGCCTGGCTGCCACTGGGGCCACCCCGGCCAACGTCAATTCGAATGCCAGTGCCACGGGGGGAGGAGGTGCGAGTGACCTTCCGCCCGTTGTCGCTGGCGACACCTCCAGCGGGGACAACTCGAGCGGCAACGAGTCCGGCAACGATCACGTGCAGCGACAGGTGGCCCTGGAGATGCGCCACCAGGAGCTGCTCAAGAAGCAGAAGCTGCTCCAGGAGCAGTACCAGCGGCTGCAGCAGATGAGCAAGCTGCCCTCGGTGGACGTGGCCTGTCCCTCCTCGGGGGGCAGGAAATGGCCGGTGGCAGCGGCAGCAGCGGCGGGGGCAACACGCTGCGCAAGCTGGGCAGCGAGAGCAACATCCAGCAGAAGATCGCCGCACTGAGCTTGGCCTGCGAGGCCAGTGGGGCCGCAGCTGCGGCGGCGGCGGCGTCTGCTGCTGCTGCCGCTGCTGCTGCTTCTGCGGCCACCAACGGTGTGCTGGCCAGTGATGCTACGAGCGGTGCGATCGGAGGTGGCGGTGGCGGCGGCAGTGGTGCTGCTGGCGGTGGTGGCAATGGCGCAACTCCAGGGGCGGCTGGTGCAGGCGCTGCTGCTGCGAACTCCTCAAACTCGAATCTGAACTTGAACTCCCAACACCAAACGGCGACTGCCACGACGACCACCAAACAGCTGTACGAGACCGAGATACTTTAACACAACTGGAAATTGGCGTGGAACGAGGCTAAAATTGACATTTAATCAGAGGCGGGCGCGGTGTTGCATATGCAGCCAATGAAGCTTCATCTTAGGTTGAATGAAGCTGCCCCATTATTTGCATGGATTACGATTCCGATTTTGAAAAGGCAGCAATGCTACGACTCATAGACTTAATCGTACGCTGGACAAACCCGAACCCGAACCCGAACCCGAACCGAACCGATAGCTATCCTTGGAAGAATATTACCACACAAACATCTCTTTTGTTTGTTAGGGCGAGCAGTACAGTACACACTGTTCATGTATTTACTATCATCTAATTGTCGTACATAAATGTGTGTTTGCACAGCTCCAGCATCCAGTGTACGTTAGGTATTGTCTGTGAGAACGCAACACGCAAATGATTGGAGGAAAAACAAAAAAAAAAAAAAAAGAAAAAAAAGAAAGAAAGAAAAAAAAAGGGAAAAAAAAGAAATTGAATCGAATCACAAATCAAAATCCCGATTGTATAATGCGTAATCACACCGTTTGTGCACCCCCTATAAAAAATCGGGCATAGGATTATGTATAGCATACTATAGCATACCTATGCACCAGCGTAAACAGACCCAGATGAATGTATTTATGTATGTATTCGCTTACATTGATGTACTTGTTGCATGTTGTGTTTTTGTTGTTGTTTCGATGAGATTGCACATATGTAGGTCAAGAGAGCAGAGGAGGAGAAGCGATGATCAAAGCCCGAAAGTTTCCCAGTCTGACATTGAGATTGGGGAAACCCAAAATGTTTTCCCGCACACAAACACCAAAACAGAAAAACTCGAGCACTCAGCTCCATATCCAGCTCTATATCCATCTGTGTGGACGGATGTGTCGGCACCCCTTGACCCAAAAACCCGGTAGCCAGGCACCGGAACCTGGCCACCATAACAGCAACACCACGATTACACGCAAAGAAAACTCCCATGCATTGAGGACAGAGCACGACGACACACAATATATTAATACAACAGTCGTTCGAACACACAAACCGATTAACGCGATCAACTATTATGCATATGTACAGGTCTACGTATGTACTTAAAATATGGCATAGATTTTTATTATTACCTTGGTATGGGAAGTGAGACTGATAGTTTTATATATGTAGCTCATCAAGATACAATATGGAATACGAAACGAACGATGATAATATTGTACTTATTTTGTTAAAAGGTGACTAGCTAATTTTATCCCCCCCACAAGAAAGCCAAAAGCACTCCCCCCGTTCCCCCTTCCCCTTAAGAGATAGAGGGGCCTTGAGCTCGTTATTCTTGGTGGGAAATTCCGGAGAGTGTACGAAACGAAGCGCTTCGGACTACCGACGATTTTATTGTTTACAACAATAGCACCTAAAAACGGGTTAAAGAAATGCAAATGCAAATATCTCTAGACACATGCATTTAGCGCAACAACTACACGCAACATCGAACCCCTATATCCCCGATATATCCATGGTAGATCTCGGGCATTGCCCGATCACAACGACATACGAACTGACCACGAACAACTACCCATTGTTTCGCCCTTCCAGGCCTTCAAGTGCTTGGCAGTCGTCAAGAGATCTGAACTGTATGGGCTTATAGCTTTTTAACAGAGTTAAAAATAATGTGTTTGGACTGTTTGGAACTTGCACTCGGATGCACAGACATAGATTTTTTATTCCACTGCGCTCGGCCAGTACCACACACTTCAGTATTATAGGCTAATTTACTTTGAAATTAATTGTAACACACACACACACAGAAATTATGACAATTTGTCGCACCTCTGCCACATTTTTATATCAATTAAATACACATACACACATTCCTTGAAATGTTCACCTTTGGCAGTCGAAATGCAGTTCGGTTTGTCGATCCCCCGATCGTTTGTGGAAACTAATGTATCTGCTGAACGGAACGGAACGGAACTACGACAAGTGTTTTAGAGTAATATCAAACAGCATAGGAAAAAGATACGACGAACGTACTTGTATCTGCTACTTATATATGTATAAATTCATAGCTCTATTATATGTATATCCAATAGCTCAAATACACCTTTTCCAGACTTTTGCTGATCGTAGTCTATGGTTAGCCATATCTTTTTTAGCAAGAGGCCCAAAGTCCCTCGGTCCGGTGCAATAGACTTGAGTTGAAGACAAAAATGCGTGCTCAAGACATCACATATACACAAAGACAAATATTTACCTAAGTTAGTAGACTTGAATTGTTTATTTAGCGCCATTCGACGAATATGTATAACATATATATTTACATGCAAAACCACGCAACGAATACACATTTAAAAGAACATATATACATACGATGCATACGATGATTACGAAGATAATAAATAACGAACTATGCGAAGAGCAGTGTTTAAAGGTCCCCTAAATAAACGAACTCAAGATATTTACATAAGTATTAAGAGTCACACGAGTGAGCGAGGCGGCGTGAATGATATCGTACACCTAATATATTCCTTAAAAGGCACACCCCACACACTCTCACCACACACCACAAAATCAGCAAAGCACACACACACTCCACTCATCTACACACCTACAACACAGGTATTTAAAATCAATCTCAAAGCCCCTGCCCGACTGACACAAAAATGAGGTGCAGAATGCAACATTCGGAAGAGTTAGAAGTGTGTATTTTTTTCCTAATAATAATTATTCTATTTAAATCACAACAAACCACAACAATAAATATCATTCGTAAAATTGACTTTAAACATGGCTTTCTCTATTCATTTATTCGCTCCTTGCCTTGGCGAGGATCTGATCAACGTTACTCAGTATTATATTATATGTATTCCAGATGCATCTCCTGCATTTGGATGCATCAATTCCTTAGAGCTAGTAGACTATTAACAACAAAAATCGTTCACATATATAAAAGGCACATAGTTTCGCAGTCGGATATATTGAAGACGTATGGGGTATACGTTCTGTCATGTGATTGTGTCTAAACTAAACACTTAAACTGTCTCGCTATTTGGCGATGCTACGCCTCTCGTTTGCTCCAAAAAAAAAAATCACCTCACCTAGCAAGGCCCTACGATTCGCACAGCCAGTCGCAGGGTAACTTGGGCATCTTGCTGGCTGGCCATGGCAGATAGCCAGCCGTCTTGAACACCCAATAGTCGTAGGAGACCTTGGCGATGAGTGCCAGCAACAGGATTACCTCGGCAGCTATCAAGTAGTAGATGTAGTCGGTCCAGTCCGGTGGCGATTGGCACAACTTGGCCTCCTGCAGTTCGATGACGCTCTGCGGGATGTTGCGACACCGGATGTCCATGTAGTCGGGTATGTCCGAGCTGCGTTCCTTCAGCCAATTTTGCAGCGTCTTGGCGGAATTGCAATCGCACTGGAGCTTGTTGCCTGCCAGGTAGATGCGACGACCCAGCCCAGAGTCCATGAGAGCATTGTTAAGGAAATACTCGGGAATCTGTCGAAGACACTCACTCAATAGTGATCATCGGAATTCACTTGCCATAAAATGCAACACACACTCACCTTGCTCAGGGAATTGTTGCGCATGTAGATGCGCTGGAAGGTCTCGATGAACTTGGTGCCCTCGAACTCGTTCATCGAGGATATCTGGTTGTTGTCCGCCACCAGTCGGTTGATGTTGTGGTAGGTGGGATTGGTCTGGAAGTAGTCGCCCAGGCTGGTTATCTTGTTGTTCGTGATGTTCAGCACGAAGGTGTTGTCCGGCAGCCGCTGCGGCAACTCCACCAGGCCCAAGTTGGAGCAGTCGACATGGCACTGGGGCTTCGACTGATTGTCCTGGATGATCATGATGTTCTCCAGTGTGCACTTGCAGTTGCCGTAGTTCGGTATGACCGGGCAGTTCGTCACGCAGCGCTTTCTGTTCTCCAGCTGCTCCACGGACACCTTGTCCGTCGACTGGAACCAGGTGCGGGTGGCGTTGTACTGGCAGTAGGAGTGCTCGGGGTTCAGGAAGTTAATGGACTCGTTGTAGATTATTTCGTTGAGTGGGGTGCACAACATGCGCATATTGCCACTGAAGAAAGGAAAATATTGATAAAGAAAGCTATATAGTACAATTATTTAACAATCTGCAATGATCTCACCTAATGTCCAGCGTTATGTTCTTGTTTTGGTTACGGTGCGGCACCAGCGAGAGGTTGTTGTGCGACATCCCGAAGAACTCGAGGTGGGGCACGTCCTTGACCGCCCGCGAGTGGATCTCCGAGATGTTGTTGTTCGATATGTTCAGGCACTTGAGGGCCGAGAGTCGCGGAAAGGCGTTCACCAGTCGCGTGATATTGCCATCGGTGACGGCGAGCGACTGGAGCGATCGGAAAATGGGATTGGACAGGTCCATGTCCTTCACGGTCATGTTGCGCACATGCAGATTCATCCACTTTGAAATGTTGCTGCAGCTCGAGATCATCGTCAGCTGCGATATGTTGCAGCAGTACCAGGAGTTCGGCTTCGCCGGGTGCTCCCTGCACTGGCAGCTGTTGGCCTGGTTGGCCTGTCCCCCTCCTCCTCCTCCGTTCGGGGACTGCGAGTCCGCCTGCTGCGACATGGAGGAGGAGCCCTGACCCTCGGCGACATCGGATCGTCCGTCGAAGGCGCGGCCACACAGCTGCTCCTCGGCGTAGAAGCAGTGCTTCAGGTACTCCGGCTGTTCGGGGGCAGCAGGTGGCGGCGGAGCGGCCGAAGTGGTCGAGGTGGTGGAGGTGGATGTGGTGGACGTGGACACGGATGAAGACGGGGCTGTGGTCGTGGCATCTGTCGTTGTGCCCGAAGACGAGGACGTGCTTGGCGCCACCGCTTCGGGCAATGGTGTGGTGGTGGATTCCGCCACGATCACATTATCGACCGTGGAGCTGGGAGCTGGCAAGGAGGTCGCCTGCTCCACTTCCTCCTGCGCCGGCGGCGGGGAGGGCTGCTCCTGCAGCAAGGGCTCCTGCTGCGTTGCCTCTGGACGCGCGCATGCGCCTGCAGCCAGGAACAGCAGGAGAAGGAGGAGCTGCCAGCCCTGAAACGACAATCAAATGGCAATGTTAGCGATTCGAATGGTTATGAATGGGCGTTTGGGGATGGGGAAAAGTACCGTCTGCCCACATTGGGCGCGGATAACGTATGCAAATGTTTGCAGACGCGCTTGTTTACGATTCGAATTAGCCGACGAGGGCTTGGCTGGTCCTCCTCCGTAATTAGGGTAAGTGGGGCGCACCCTGAACGTACATATAGTATATAGTACCATATAGCAACCAGACCCGCTGCTCCCCCGTCGTAATTGTTAACCCCAATCGTTTTTTTTTTAGCGTCTTGCGGTGCGGCTTAACTGCCAATGACGCCGCTACGCTAATTCGGCAATTAATTAACGAATCCCATCGAATTGAAATGGCCAGGCCGAATGTGATAAAAGGCCAATAAAAAGATTAACTGTGTTTGGTAGCAATTGTAAGCGGGTCGGTTGGTGGTAAATTGGCTATTTCGGTGGCTAATGTGGGTGGTTCTCTACTATTAGTTGAAAATTCAAGGATTAAAACCTTAAATTTGAATCTCTTCCAAAATGTTGTTTACAATTTCAAGATAAGAACTATACATATTGTACATAAATAACCCCATATTATATTTTATTTTATTATTATATTTAAAAATAACATCACTAAGCTCACAAAATCAAAAGATATGAGTGAATCAGTAATTTACGATGCTTTCTAGAATCTAGAATCTAGATTATAAATACACTATCAATGCTGGTATATCAACATTCCCACGCACACATGCAACTGCATGCGCATTTGACTTACGTGGGTGTCTGCGAACATCGCCTCCGGATTGGGATTCCGCTGAGTTTTCACCTTCGGCGGTCTGCTGGTTTACTCCTGGACAGAGTCACAGAGGATCAGCCAAATGGACATCCGAGGAATCACACTTCTGTGTCCGCAAACGCTGTCATTTAAATGATTTGCGCACATCCCAATTTCAGCGCAGATCAGCTGTTTTCCAGTGATTTTTAAAGCTGTCTTGCTTTAGTTTGTGATAAACCATCAATCCGAACGCAAACAAATTCACTGCAATGTTTTAAGGGTACAGGGTAATCAAAAAAAAAAAATAATAAGTGACTACAATGCACTCAAATCGTTCAAATACGAACAAAACAAAAGGCAAATGTTACGTTTAGCAGACAACTGTTAACTGCTCTGTTCTCCGCAGTCTATCGATACATCGGCACAGAGAACATACGATATTAAGGTGACCACTAATAGCAAATAGATTAGATTAATCGAAACATCGATAAGTAGTCTTTCGCGTTCGATAGTGTCATCGACTTTTGTGCATGTTAAGTCTGGGATTTTTAATCTGCTGTTTATCTTGAGTCGCAGTGTATTTTTAAGTTCGATTTATTTAAACAAGGCAACAATTGTTTATGTTGTGAAGTTACAGTTTCTGTACTCATAAAGAATCATTACTTCGAGAAAACAGGATCGTCGAGCTTGATCGGTGACACATCTGTCTGTACCATACACAGAACAAAGTCTAAACAGGAAAGAAGAGCATTGCGAAATTCGGGAAACACCACGTAGCCGAAAGATGCCCATAGATACGCGCGAACTGATGGAGGCGATAGCCATCGTGGCGGATGAGCGCAATGTCCGCGTCGCCGTAAAGCAATCCGGCAAAGGAGCGGCCATTTGCGCGGCCTGCTCCTTCGCGGGCGGCATGCTCTTGGGTCCAGTTGGACTGGCGGTAGGCGGGGCAGCAGGCGGAATCGCTGCCTACAAGATGACCAGCGGTAAGAAGCAAAAATCAAACAAAAAACCACTCTCATCATCCGATTTACCAACAACACACAGGTACCTTCCGACCCCTGGGCGAAGTTATCCTCAACGATTTAACCGACACTCAGCGGGAGCAGCTGGTGCAGCACGTGTCCAAGGCCATAGCCGAGGTACATCCCACCGATGTGGTGATGCTCCTGCCGCTGATCGTCCAGAACGCCTCCATCCAGCAGGCGGTGCTCAACACGGTCATGTCCTTTGTGACCAACGAGCTGCGCATGCAGATTGTCGACTGACCTGCTGCTGCTGCACAAAGTGCTATCAGTGAAATCTTAGTCAAAATCGTTGTGATCTGTGTAGGTTTATTAATAATAAATACTCTATATGTACATAAATATTTGGACTATTCCCACTCGACGTTCACCTGCTCCCAGTCGTCGACGAACGGCTGGTCGATGGTATCGATCAGCAGGCCGCAGAAGAGGCAATCCGCCGCCAGGATGTCCTCGACCTCGGTCTTCAGCAGTGCCCGCTTTCGCTGCAGCTCCATCGCCTGTTGTTTGGAGGAGGCGCTCGACTGCGCTTGTGGCTGCACCTCCGCCTCCAGCTGCTGCTTCAGGATGCTGAGCTGTCGCGCCTGCTCCTTGGTGAGCATGGGCACAACCTGTTTCTCGAGGCAATCGCTGTGGAACTTGTGGCCGCACATGAAAGCGAAGAACGGCTTGACCAGCAGCATCATCTCGCAGATGTCACAGGTGTCCTGCGCACTCATCGTGATGCTGTGCTCGCGCAGCTGCTCCAGCTCCTCGGCCACGCGATCGGATTGCTCCTTGGTCTCGGCCATTTCGCGCTGCAGCTCCTGAATGCGCTGGTTGTAGTCCTGTCGAGCAAGCATAATTCTGATTAGTACAAAGGTTATCCACAATAGAATGGCAGTCCTTACCCTCAGAGCATCGCAGATTGGCTCCTTGAAGTTGTCGATTTTCTCAAAATCGGCAAAGAAGGGCAGCAGATCCTCGATGCGCAGAAGGTCGCACTCCTTCAGCAGATTCAACGCCTTCTTGACGTCGTCGGTTCCCTCGATATCATGTTTCGCTAAAAGAAAACCCACGTCATTAGATGCCAACATTCAACAAGCAGAGATTCAGTGAAATCCAGTTACCTATGCGAAGCCAGAGCTTGCGGCGCATCTTCCTGTCCGTCGGCCGCGAGGCGGTCTCCTTGGCCAGCTTCATGTCGAACGTGAGGGCCAGATCCACGGCGGAGATCCACTTGCGCAGCATGCACTCCAGAAAGACGCAGGCCTCCTTCACCTTCAGATCGGTGCAGACCTTGAGGGCGTAGTGGATGTCGTAGTGCACGAGGCTCTCGTCGCGGCCCTGAATCTCGAGGTACTTCATCAGCAGCTTGTGATCGTGCTCCGCGTACAGGTGCAGCAGGAAGTTGTGAATGGCATCGTTGGTCGTGTTCAGCTTGTAAATGGCAAACTCGAGGTAGCGCTGTGTCTGCTCCGTTGCTCGCGCGTCTCCATAACGATGAGCGTGGGCACCAGCTTCTCCACCTCCAGCCGGGAGCCCTGGGCCATCAGGGCGTCCACTGTGGGCTTCGGCAGTTTCGATATCAGTTCGGGCGCATACTTGTAAAAGAGTTCCGGGTTCCGCTGGTTGCTTAGCGTCTGCAGTGCCTCCGCGTAGCACTCGGCCTTCAGTTGCTGCCCCACTACTTCATCGTAGTCACCGATGGCGATGGCGAACTGGGCCATGTTGTGGGGATCCGCGTGCTCGGCGATCAACTGCTGCACTGCCTCGCGGTTTTGTCGCGTGCAGAGGAGGACAGGTGGCTGCGTCATGAACTCATCGTACTCCGTCTGCCACGCCCGGCGCCACTCCTCGTTCTGGTCGGGCGTGTTGATCTGGATGAGGTAGAGATCGATGAGCCAGATGACCAGAGTCTTAATGGCTTCCGCTTCCTCCTCGTCCACTGGCTCCACATCCACCGGCTTGGTGGTCAGTCTGCTGAGGCGCTTCTTCACATAGTTGATGATGGGCCGCTTGTCCGGCAGCACCATGAACTTAAGGCACACCTCCTCAAAGGACTTGTCCGTCTCCGCGTAATAGTCGGCGGCCACTTGATAGGACCCGTCCGCAAAGGCGGCGTCCGCCCGCTGGCCGAGCACCAGCTGCAGGTGCTCTGGATCCTCGGCTGCGTGCGCCGTGGCCAGCTCATACTGCCCCTTGTCGAGGTAGATGCGCCACACGTTGCGCTCCTCGCGAGTCACGCGCAGGTTGAACACGGTCTTGGCGGTGTAGACATATATGGAGCCAGTGAACTCGTCACGTTCGATATTTATTGGCCTGCCAACGCGGGCCTCGTCGAAGGCTTCCTGGTAGACCTGCTCCTGGTTCAGCAGGCAGATGGCCCTTATGTGGTCTGCGTACAGCAGCACGGCGTGGTACTCCGTCAGTACGAATGCCCTGGGAATGTTCAGACGCCGCTCCTCGTACGACAGATGCATGGCCTTCTCGAAGTCCAGGTTGATCAACGTGCTCCCAATCAGGGTAGTGGCGCTGTTTCCTTCGATGGAAAGCTGTGAGACGAAGTTAAAGCTGATCTGCCGTGTTACTAAGTCAAACTACTTACCTCGCCCACACGAATGCCCTCGCCGCACAGCCACGCCCACTGCTTCGGATACTTGCTGTTGGGCGGTGCGAAGAGGCGAAGCTGCGAGTAGGTCAGGTCTGTCTTGCGCTCCTCGCAGTGCGGCTCCTGCACCCCGCTCACATAGCCAGCGAATATGGGCTGCAGGGAACGCTCCTCGGCCTTCAGCGTTTCTTGGAATGTGTAGATGCACTCGGGACTGGTGACCACGACGATGTACCGGCTGCTGTTGGGCACTCGGAGCAACTTGAGACCCGTGATCGGGTACTTGGGGCGACCCAGGCCCAAGTCATAGAGCTGTTTGCGCTGAACGTGGCCATCAGCGGCGGGGTTCAGCTCCGTCTCGAATATAAGCCCACGACTTGTGCCGAGCAAAATGGAGCCGGTGGTCGACTCGTTACCGTGGTACGGATTGAAGGCGACGGCGGTGATCTCGTGGTCCTTGAACTTCTCGATGCGCCGCACCTTCAGCTGCTGCGCTTGAGGCGATTCCAGGCAGTGGATGTACAGGAAGTCTGGCGAGACGCCGGCTGAGGCGGATTTGGGGACCAGCGCGATGATGACATGGTGGCCGGTGGGGTCCAGGAATAGTCGCGTTATCTTGTACCCCGAGCCCGAGAGGTATTTCTCCAGGGCCACCTCTGCAGCAAGAACATAGATGTGTTTTGGATATACATAATAGTCAAGAGGTGAGCATGCTTACCTCCCGGCGGAATAGCGCGCGGCAGGAAGAAGCGCAACAGAGTGGTGCGCTCCGCGGTGCCCAGGATGCAGACGAGCCAGTTCCGGGAGACGTTCAGGTGCATCAGGTCGCCGGTGCAGTTGCTAGGCACCCGGAGCACCATCTTGTGCCTGCTGAAGATCTCTTCCTCCTCCTCCTCCTCAAAGGGATTGCCGGAGGCTGTGGCCACGTAGGAGTTGCCCGGGGCACCCCGCTCGACGCGGGGCAGGAACTTGGGCTGGTTGGGCATTCCCTGGGCCATTCTGCTGGTTTTTCCTTGTCGGCAATGTTTATTTCCCCCGATTTACGCCCACAGCAAAAGTGATGGCACTCCAAGTATCGATAAGTCGATGAGCAGTTGGTTGAGTAACTATCGATACGGCCCCGGCAGGGATTGAAATCGATAGGCATCTGACCAATCGACCAATCGAAATTCAAAAATTCAAATTCAAAACCGTTTCATAATCAAAAGAAAAGAATTATTTGATAGAAAGTCCGCTATTGCTTGATCCAATCCCACAATGATTACAAATATAGCAATTTTTTTTATATTTTTATTAATAATTAGTGTTTTTTTTTTTTTTGTATACATGTAATTATATTATTTATATATATTTATGTTGGATGCGTGCCTTTCTGCCGTCGTTAAACATGTGTCCGAATTCCAAATGGAGTCAGTACACTTAAGCATGCAAAATGCCATCCGTTTTTGATAAACATCTCTCACACTCCTGACTCGATTCATATTTGAATATTTCGATTTTAACTGTTTTTTTTTTTTTCTGCGTTGCATTCATAATTCTGTGACACAACGTCAGTTGGCTTCGAAACCACTGCGCACAGCGGGTGATTGATTTTTCAATAGGGTTATTAATAAAAAATGTACAATTAGTTTGTATACATGTATGTTGTATGCATGAAATGAGTTTCTTGTTATTTGTGCAATTTATTTACTAACGTGTAATTCTTTGCTTGACTTTACGATAATTATTCATCTGACTTCCGATTTCTCCATTTCCATTTTTGTTTTCTGTTTTTTGTTTTTTTTTTTTAATAAATTCGGACTTTAAAAGTGTTCGAAATTACAGATTTATTATTTCTAGAAAATCCTACAAAAAAAAAGTAATAATATTATTAATGTAAATGTTCTTTCAGGTTTCCTTCGAATACAACTATCTGCATATGTTGTGCGTTGATTTGTATCGGTGAAGGATGTGTCTGCGTATAAGTGTATCTATATCTGCATCTGAATCCGATTCTCTGTCGGTCACCTTGGCGGCCGAGTGCGCCGTGCCCCAGTAAAATATGCATGTGAGTATGTATAGCCGAAAGTGTGAAAAAATGCAACAGCATAAACATCGTTTTTAACTATTAGATAAAATCCAAAAAGTTCGTTTTCCGAGTCTGATTTGCAATTTCCCTTTTTTGTTTTGGCTTGCTCGTAATTAAGCTTAAACATTGTTATCGCTTACTGGGCGCTATACAATTAATTTTTAAAATTTAAATTTTGTAGTTAATCACAGATTTTTTGTTTTAAATACCGAAAAGTTAAATTATTAAACAGGGTAGTTCCGAAATGTATTTGGCTTTGTCCATATTAACATATGCATATATGCCTGTACACATATAGAATCATATATATGCACATTTATTGTATATTATATAATAAATAATTTTGACTAATAATTTTCAATTATCTAATTGTTTTCCGATTCAAGTTTCGTGTTCGAATTTGTAATAATTTTCATTTTCTTATCATATTGGATGCTTGTGATATGCGTTGCATTTTTATCAATAACATTACGATTTGTTCATCATTTAAATTTCGCTCACACATACATGTACAAGGTACTTGCGCGTGTGCCTTTGTCTTTGTCTTTGTGTGTAATTTCTCTTGCATTCGAGAGTGACAGATAACAACAGATAAATAGATATTTAGATAGAAATTCAGTGACTGACATATCATATGTACGTCTCTGGTGTCTTAGCTTTTATGCCTTTGAGTGTAGCTTGGTTTCGGGTGGGGAAAGTGCTTCAAATATGGATATACATATACTTTTCTATTTCTAAGAATATTTTTATACGAACTTTAGAGCTATCAACTACATTAATATGATTCAAAATCTTCTCATTTATGGTACGAATATATGCGTCTCCTTCAGTTTATTTTGGCCATGCTAGATCCTCTCGTTAGTAATTCATTCCTCTGGTTATTTTCTGCTTGGTGACTGACTGACTGACTGACTGTAAGTACGATCTAAGTGCGATGAGGGGTTGCAGGTCGGGGGATTGGCAACCAGGAAGGGTCTTACAAGTAGTTCCCTGAGCATTTGTTAGCTTCCCTGAGTTTTTCCTCTACTTCCTATAGGGGAGGTCAAACAAAACGCTTTACAACTTAACGAAATAGAAAAATATGAAGTGTATACCTTTGTAACGTATCGTTTGGGATGAGGAAATTATAGTTTGCGGATTTTTTTTTTCTTAATATGATTTTTTTTATTGTGTAACATATGCCAAAAAGTATAATTTTGAATAGGTTTAATTGAATATATATAAACAATACGTGAATAAGGAAGGTGCACAAAAAATAATACAAAAGTTCGCATTCACAGTTTCGTAGAGTATCTAAACATAAATTTTGAGAGACAGCCTTACAGTCTCGTAGTTGTAGTAACATAATTTAAAATTATAAACAGCCAAAATGGAATTTCGTACAAAGAAAATGAAGAAAATGTTCACTTTCACTTTTTTTTAAGATCACAGTTTGTTGCATTTGCATTATTTTTCGTTTTTGTCTCTGCTTTTCTTCTTGTATTCGCTTCAATTGAAAAAAGTAATAAATGTAGTACGTCTTATAAGTTTAAAGAACTTAATACTAGAATAATGTGTAATTCGTCAAAGTATAAAATATATTTAAAATTAAATATGTACTAAAAATACAAAAAAAAAAAAAAAAAAAAACATAAATACATGTAAAGTATATTAAAATGGAAGATTTAACTCTATGCGATGAAAACGAGAATCTGGGGAAAGCAATCGCATCCCGTCCACCTATCCCATCCCCTCTGTCGTCAACCTTCCCTTTGCGACCCCCCACAAGTATCTGTAAGGTTGAATAAATTAATTAAAACTATGTCAGATCTACAAAGCGCACCTGCCCCGATTACTGTCCGATATATAACTGAAAACGCTGTTAAGCCATGTAAATTAACCTGGATGGAACTTCGTTTGAACGCTGATAAGTGAAGAGACTTGTCGAAACCCCACCCCGTGCTGATCACCAATCCCGGGGCTTCCTATCGTTACTCCTAGGGTTCCGTTTTGGGTAGCATGGCACAAAGAATACTTATTACTCGTCTAAAACTGTTACTATTCTTACTACTCGCACTGCAATCTGTATGTGTATTTGTTACTGCTCATGATACTGCGCCTATATCTATGCTCTGCTGCGATTGACAAGATATCGGAGAACACGCATTTGATGATGAAGATGATATGCCCGTTAAGGTGTGTTGATTGGAATTAAGTAGCTGTCTATCCCGACGTTCCTGCTGCGGTAAATAGTGTGTGTGTTAATATTAGGTGTAAATTGGTTTTTAAATTTAAGAAATTCCTGAGACATGGATTTGGTACCCATTTTGTCGTACCCTTTTTGCTTATCTTTTTTTTGTTTTTGACACTGAATTTGTTTAACACAGATGTAAGTGGGTGGATATTCTTTGCACTTCTAGTCTGAGTAGGGGCAGTTAGGTGTTCTCTTCTCTAGTTATATCTGTGTTAAAGGCGTTCCCGATAAACCGATGTACCTTGAATAGATATTGCTTTGTAGCTCCCCCCGTGAGGTATGTACAATAGTCGGCAGTGCAAACTGTTGCTATTTCTGATTCCGATTCTGCTCTGTTTTGGATACCCGCATTTCTACTGGAGAAAACATACTACTCTGCACTCATATGTATTTGATTTGCTCTGCTTCTCTGCATATGCATTCGCCCTTTCGTTTAACAATCTTTCTGCTCTTCGCGGCTTGCGACTTGTTATTAAATTTAATTTCAGAACATTTGTACTTAGCTGGTGAAAAATCACTGAGTTACTTTGCGGTTTTTGTTTAATGCGTTAATCCTCGATTTGCAAAAATGTTTACAGCTCTTCTTCTTCTTCTTCTATACACCACACGTACTAGTACGGGTGCCTGTGCGTCGGTGTGTGTGTGTATATCGGTACTATATATATTGTATATATGGTAAATGGTGTAAAGTATATACATGTATACATAGACTTTAGTATAATTGTTTCTCTTTGCTTACACGTACACATATGCATTCATTATGTGTGTATATAAAAAAATGACTTTAATTTCTGTTACTTTATTCGTCGTATATGTATGTGTATAAGCAGAAAAAAAAAGTATTTTCCACTACATACTTGATATTTTATCCCTGATAACGTTTTACTTTTGTTTGTTGTTTTTGTTTGTTTGCTTGTTGCTTGTTAATTGTTACTTGTTACACGTCTCTCTGTTCTATCGACTTTATGTTGAACATTAGATTTGCGTTTATCTTAAGCTAGTCTTACATATGTCCTAAATTTACAGTTAGGTTCCTTCGAACAAAAAAAAAATAGACACACATCTCTTACTCTACTCTGCCGCCGATCTTTATCTTTTTCTTACTGGAATCCGACTCTTTAGAGAACGCACGATGGCGCAGCAGTTGGCAAATAAAATAATTGTATGAGTATAAACTAGCAAAAAAAAGGAAGGTTTACATATATAATATGGTTACATTTTAGTTGCATGATTGTGTGTTTGTGTGTGTGTGTGTGTATGTCTGTTAACGTTGCTGTTGTTGTTGTTTGCTCGAACCAAAACAACAAGAAATCTTTGCGGAGCTGCCGGAGTTGCCGGGGCGGGAGCTGAGTTCCGGAGGCGCCCGACAGGTGGCGCAGATTCTATTAAAGATTCGGTAGTGTCAGTTTCGGCTGCAGACTCAGATTCATTTGATGGTGCAGTTGCATATGCAGCTGCGTGATATGTACCATTATTGCTCCGTCCGTTCAGCGCCCGCCCCGCAATCTGGCCACGCCCCCCCAGCTTGAGAGTGCTCGTGTGTGTGTGCGTGTGTGATCTAGTCCTTCGTTCTCTTCCCATTTTGTTGTCGTTAATGGTAAACATAACTCTAATTCTAATAAGTATTCCTTAAACGCAACTTCACGTTGTTTGTGTGTTTTGTGTTTTGTGTGTTTGTGTTTATGTTGGTTGTTGGTTGGCCTGCCGCCTGTGCGGCTTCCAGAGGTATTAATGATTTATCGAAATTATTTACACGATTTTTGAGGTATTGCACATGAAGCAACGAAGGTGCTTCAACTACTAAGTAGGTGAGAGCAGCACAAATAACTAATGGTACGAATAGATACATGTGTATAAAAAAAACTCTGGCATAATAGTAATCGTAATAATTACGTAACATAAGGATAAGAATAATAAAACAGTTGACGCCAAAATATATGTATGTATGCCTAAAGCTTAGAGTACGCACGATGATTAATAATATTAACTAATGTATATAGCAGGCTGAGGACCCCGCCTTATGGAGCGGGGGTCGTCGGTCCAGTGCGAAAACAATGGGCAAAGTATTTGTAGCTGGTCTTGACTGCTGCTCACTGGTCGTCCGACTCACTGATTGACTGACTGACTGACTGACTGACTGACTGACTGACTGACTGACTGACTGAGAGACGGGGCTGGAGACCAACGGCTGGCAGATTCGTTCCTTAAAAGATGGCGTTCCAACTTAGCTCCTATTGGATGCCCGGTGGCGGCTGTCCCAGCTCGCTGGTGAAGTCGAACAGACTCGTCCGCGGATGCGAGAGGGCGTGGTGATGCGGATGCGGATGATGACCGTGTCCGTGGCCATGACCCACCAGCCCATGCTTGATGGCCGACGTCTTGAGCAGCCGCTTGAGCATGCCGCTGGAGCCGCGGTGCTGCAGGCTCTTGTGCGTCGTCAGCGAGTTCTTGGTGCGGTACCGCCGGTGGCAGAACTCGCACACGTACAGCGTGTCCGACTGCTCGTGCTTGTCCTGGAAGTGCCGCTTCAGCGAGTAGTAGCACGAGAAGGTGCGCCGGCAGTAGGGACACTCCTGCGGCTCGTTGATCCCGCCGCTGGTCGGCGGCGGCATGCGAAGCGGCAGTTGCGGTGCGCCCGCCTGGGCCACGCCCCCTCCGCCCGATGCTGCCTGCTGGCTGCCCGGACTAGAGCCGTTGTTGCTGTTGTTGTTGTTGTTCGCGTTGTTGTTGCTGCTGTTGTTCGTGTTGCCGCTGCCGTTGTTGTTGCTGATGCTGTTGCCGCTGTTGCTGCCATTGCTGCCGGAGAGGACCGAGGCCGAGGTGGAGGAGCAGAGGTTGCTGCCCACACTGCTGCCGACGCTGCCGGGACGCGGCGGCGAGGTGGCATGCCCCAGGACATGGCCGTGGGCATGGCTGTGCAGGTTGTAGACGGCGGCGGCCAGACTGCCGTTCAGCGAGCTGGTGGGCGAGGTGAGGGCCGTGGGCGGCGACGGCGGCGATGAGGTAGAACTGGTGGGCGAGGTAGCTGCGGAGCGGTTGATGCTGTGCGGTCCTGCACAGGAGACAAACAAAGAAGGGCATTAGAGCGTTTCGGACTGGGCGTGGTGGCTGAAGGGGGGTGGAAGGGGGTTCATTTGGGTGGTGGTGGAGAAGGTCGTTTCGATTCAAACTGGTTTAGGCTTATTCTTTATTGGTATTGATATATTGGTATTTGATATTTATATTGCTTTTGTGGTTGTTCAGAAAGTATGAAAATAAAAGTGCAAGGTAGAGGGTGAAAATACGTGGTAGATTGTCCCCTTGCGGGCGACCAGGATACGGGAAAGGATTGGAGTTTGGAGGAAACAGGACAGAGGACAAAGGGCAGAGGACAGAGGGGAGTGGGATAGTGGAAGATGTTTAAAATAAAATACGGTAGGTAGGTAGGTAGGTAGTAAATGCTTGAATGCTCTATTTTAGCACTAGGAACTTCCTGAATTGAGTTGAATTTAACTAAAATTGGTTGCTAGCAGAGAGTAGAGGTAAAGCGTTATATAGTTTAATACTCGAATATATATGGTATAACTATTAAGGTAAAGATAAATGTGTGTGTCGGTTCAAGTTCAGTTTTTAAACTTCGGCCACTACGTATGCTAATTCCGAACTCGGTTTCCGGCTCGTTGCGCTCTCTTTATTTATACATTGCATTATGTACAGAACGAATCGGAAACAGTTCGGATCGAAACGGAAACGGAAGCGGTTAATTTTGTTTGCAGATGGCTCAAAACGTTTTTGGCCTTGACTTTGACCGTTCTTCTTAAGCATGTCTGAGCTTATGTTATATGCATATGTGTGAAGTTATGGCAGAAAAACAGAATTCTACTTGAGTTTGCTAACTGCTTTCCTACAGAGTCACCTTTCCAGCCTCTGTTGAGCCTCTGGCGCCAGCGTATCCAATTTCAGGTCCGATTTGGGAACCGAAAAAAGAGCATGCAGTTGGCTAAGCGCCAGGAGAACTCGCCAGCGCACTGAATACGAGATATCTGAGTTTTTTATACTGATTTGTACACTGTTCACTTGTGACTACTTCGTTGTAGGCGTAAATAGGGAAATTAGGCTAGTTAACAACCGATTGTACATATATACATACGAGGTACGAACGTGTTAATCTACAAACCAAATAAAGTGCACATGCAATCACAAACTTACTTGTGTATAAGTGTCTATGAATGAGTGTCAGTCTGTGTTTGAGTGTAATGGGGATTGTGATGGTGAGGGTAGCTAGCAGATGAAGTCGTCGCCAAGGACAAAGGACAAACAAGCAAGCAAGCAGCGAGTGGCAATGGTATTTTAAGCGAGTAGCGAGTAGCGAGTAGCGGGTAGCGAGTGGCATGCAGAGAGACAAGCGAGAGCAAAGAATCAAAAGTAAAGCAATAAACATTAGACTAAATTAGGAGCTTATCGCATTTCGAATATGGATTTCAGATGTGTCTTTGTGAGCTTCCGCTCATCGGTATGGTTCGAATTGGCTGGTTTCGGTTTCGGTTGGTAAGACTGGCTATTTTTTTTGGTTTTGCTTTTCTTTTGCGAGTAAATTTGGGAAATCTAACAAAAACGAAAGCAGTAAGTAAATGATAAACTATGATTGCAGTTAGTAGTTGGGCCTCAACCCAATTTGATAGATCGAGCGTGGAGAAAGCGTGGTGAGTTAAGATTCGATTTGTATTTGTCGTGGCCCTTCGACGACGTTAACTTACCAAAACGAAAAGTTAAATATTTGAGTAGACTCATATCTAAAGATCTATTTGTAGTTGCAGCGTTCGTAATCCATTTTTTAGTTCTCTATATAGTCGTTATAATATTATAGTTGTAGGTAGTATTCTTTGTACATAAGTGGATAATACTTTTGCTTATTTTTACAGTTGCATCAGAGCGGGAACAGTAGGTGATGAGACAGAGAAAGAGGGAAAGAGAGAGGAAAGTGACAACAATACGAGGATACTGGAAACGCAGATGCCAAGTCAACGAGGCTTAAGACGAATCAGATCAGATCGAAGATCAGATGACAGATGACAGAGGAGCTGAGAAAGGGGTGTTAGTGGGTGTTGCGTCAGCGAGTAATCTGGGCGAGTAATCTTGCGACTGACGCTGAAAAATGTCAAAATCAATCAAGGCGGAGTGAGGCCTCTTTGGTCACTACGGTTAGTAAAGCTTCAGATAGAGAGAGAGTGTGTGTAAAAGGAAAGATAGGGAGCTTAACGCCCCTTGTTATTTTGTCTAAAAGTAGCTTTACATTGGGGTGTTGTTAGCGTGTACGTAGTAGCGAGTAGTAGAATGCAGAGCGAGTAGGAACGAAGAAAGAGAGAGGCGAGGTCGACTACGGTAGCAAGTGAGTGGGTCGTACTTACAGGTCGCAGATGTTCTTTGTACATGAGTGGTTAGACTATAGTATATAGGCTACGGCGAGTCTAGTGGAAAGTGAGATCAAGAGCGACAGTGGGGAGGCGAGTTCGGAGCGCGTGAGCAGGCAAAATGTGGTTACAATATAGTACAAAAGAGTTCTTTGGCATATGGTGGCCATAGAAGAGGCGAGTGCGTAGTTCTAGTGGTAAACCACAGAGAGTTTGCTTGGTCTGGTTAATTGTTTGCATCGTCTAGAAACAATTTGTACAGAATATACATCGAGCACTAAGCTGGCAGAGGTACGCTCGATTGTTCGTTAGTGTGTGTGACGATTAGGAGGTAGATAGATAAAGAGTTAGAAGGAGATTCTTGTACAGATAGACTTAGGTTCAGATACTCCCAAGAGAGATAGAGAAAGAGGTAGAGAGAGAAAGAGAGAGAGAGCGACAGTGTGTAGAACGAGGCCATGAGAGGGAGATAGCATGTAATGTACTAACTACGTATCGGCGCATGGTCGGATAGTTGGCTACCAATGTAGTTTAAGATGTTGGGCTAACCTTTAGCAAGCGCGCGATCTTCTATTTTGACTGACTAACGAGTAGCGGGTGCGGGTAGCGCGAGGCTTGTAGCGAGTAAAGTTAGAGTTGCAGCTCTGTCTGTCGCTGGTGGATGCACGAGGTCAAATGAAGCCAGCTCACATCCCTCCGATTCGGGCATGATTGTGGGTGTTCAATTTCTGACTCTGCGTTCTGCGTTCTGGGTCTCTCGCGTCTGGAGCTTTGCTCCGCTCGACAAAGTGTGTTATTTATAGGCGCCCCGTTGTTACTGTTGTTGTCTGGTGGTTGTTGTTGTTGTTCTTGACGTTGATGTTGTTGAGCCAAGCCAAGCCGCAGCAAGCGATTCCGTTGTAGTTGCAACATTTATAGCACTGGGCACAAGTCGACCGGCAAACTGGGGGACTTACGACACATAAGGTTTAATGTCCTTCTTCACTTTCCAATATCAACTATTCGTCTCCGAGTTATGTATATTTTTTCTTTATATAATTATGTAAGGGGAGTATATATATTTCTTTTACTTTTTATATTATATTTAAGCTACGGAAGAAAGCACGATACAATCTGTTCAGCTTGTCCAGGTCGAGAGGGAAGTTACGTAGATTTGAGAAAGGCAACTTGTGCGATGATGTCCGTCTGTTTCCGAACAGAAACAGGAAAAGAGCTCTAATTGTAAAATTGACTACGAGTACGTTGTATGAGGTATAAGGTAAAAGAAGGCCACAGAGTGTAAATAGTGTATATCCGTATTCTTCATACTGGTCCATAGGCATGAGTTGTGAAAAAGTCAGCAAGTCTACGTTAGGTCGATACATCGATGTATAGGTTAATCTACTTTCTAATCTAAAAGAGTTCCAAATGTCCTCTTAAGCCTAGCTTAGGTCTAATGTCTTTTCTTGTTTTTGTGGTTAACAAAATTCGCTTGTAACTAAATTGTTCGAAATATTCTCGCCCTAATAATAGTGGGCTCTACTCTCTTTGTTCGTCGTGTTCTAAAATAGATTGGTAGGTAGGTGTATATATCACTACATAATGGCATTGCTTTAAGTTTGAGCTAAGTTCTATTTGAAGTTTAGTTGCTCGTGGTGGCAATCGAAGGGCCGTGACTGCTGCTGTGACCGTGACTGTGACTGAGACCGTTATGATCGTTACCGTTCGCATTGCGTTGGTAGAAGTAGTAGTCGTACAGGGTCATTATCTGTCGCTGCTGGATGAGCAGCTGGTACTGGTCGTTCAGTGGCATTGGTCGCTTTGGATAGATCGTATTACCGGTATCGGTCCGATTGAGGTAATCCTGCCTGGGCATTACAGGCGACAAGGGTTTGGGTGGGTGTGGGGGTGGTGGTGGTATGCTAGTCATGGTCATGTTCATGGTCGTATTGGCTTTCTTCGCTGGTGGCTGCTGCTGGTGGTATGGACTATGCTGTGGCACGCTACTAGGGCGGCCCGGCAAGGGCGTTAAGTCTCAGATCGACGAGTTGAATTGGTTGTAGAGCTTGATGTCCTTCACCTCCATTTCGCCGGGCCGGGACTTGTGGTAGGTATAAATGTGCGTCATTAGCGAGTTGCGCGAGCAGTAGACGCGCTCGCAGATGGCGCAGCGGTACTCCTCTTGGCGCACGGCGTGCTTGTCGGCAATGTGGCGCTTGAGCGAGGCTTTCGAGCAGAGCAGCTTGCAGCAGAGCTGGCATGAGAAGAGTTTCTTGGGCGAGTTTCCTGCAAATTGGTGGATTGGTGGATTTGGATTTGGTATGGTTGGTATTGGTATTTGGTATTTGGTATTTGGTATTGATTGGTACTAGTAGTAGCTGTGTTTTTTTTTGGGGCCTTATCCTATAACAACGGAAGTGGCCGCAAAAGAGTGTCCTCTTGTTTTCACATGAAGGACTCGTTCTGAGGGTAGCTAAAGGGTAACTGAAATGTTGGTAATGAATGCTGCCCACACACGCGAATAGCCACCGAGCAGCGGGACAAACAGACTGCCGGTCGGTGTGTTTTCGAGTGTCTGGCATGGTGAATAGCAAAAGACATAAATAAATAACATTACACATAGGGTTCATAACAAATTAAGAGTATATATAGTAGACATATTGCCCGTCCAGTCACCTCACTG